GGGAGTCTTTGTGTAAAAAAGTATATTTTGATCCCGGGATTCTGATATTCAGCCTACATCCATCACATGTTGTGAGAGTAGCGGAGTCTTGAGTGTGAAAAAGTATATTCTGATCCCGGGATTCTGATATTCAGCCTACATCCATCACATGTTGTAAGAGTAGGGGAGTCTAAAGTGTGAAAAAGTATATTCTGATCCCGGGATTCTGATATTCAGCCTACATCCATCACATGTTGTGAGAGTAGGGGAGTCTAAAGTGTGAAAAAGTGTATTCTGATCCTGGGATTCTGATACTCAGCCTACATCCATCATATGTTGTGAGAGTAGGGGAGTCTTCAGTGTGAAAAAGTGTATTCTGATCCCGGGATGCTGATATTCAGCCTACATCCATCACATGTTGTGAGAGTAAGGGAGTCTTTGTGTAAAAAAGTGTATTCTGATCCCAGGATTCTGATATTCAGCATACATCCATCACATGCTGTGAGAGTAGGGGAGTCTTCAGTGTGAAAAAGTGTATTCTGATCCCGGGATGCTGATATTCAGCCTACATCCATCACATGTTGTGAGAGTAAGGGAGTCTTTGTGTAAAAAAGTGTATTCTGATCCCAGGATTCTGATATTCAGCATACATCCATCACATGTTGTGAGAGTAGGGGAGTCTTGAGTGTGAAAAAGTATATTCTGATAATCAGCCTACATATATCAAAGTTTTAATGATAGGGGAGTCTGAAGTGCGAAAAAGTGTATTCACATATTCAGCCTACATATATCAATGTTTTGTGGGTTGGTGAGTCTAAAATGTGAAAAAGTGTGTTCTGATATTCAGTCTACATTGCACAATATAGGACATGAAAATTCAGGATTGAAGATTTTTAGTATCTCAAATCAATTCACATATTGTGTGGATACATTACTAGAAATATGATACAAAATGACTAGTGTATTATAAACAAAGATGACATTGTTTTTAAAGATGATCCTTCTTCATCATCAACTATCTGATTTTCTATCATTTTGTGAATGTTCAAGAAAAACTGTATTACAAAGTCACATATGGTCTGCCAAATAATCGTTCCTTATCTTTAATCTTGAAACCTGAGACATTTAAAACAACACTGACATATTTTTGTTTTGTTTTCTGAATGTAAATTCTTATTTATCAAACTATGGGAGTTTTTATAGGTTACTATCTCTGCTTAATAGGTCCAGTCATGCCAATTGTAACTATACTAAAAGAGTTCAATATTTGCAGTTCCACTCTATATATACAGTTTAATTCAGTCTCTTAACATGTATTTTATTGCTCAACCATTTCACTCTGCATTTTTGGAATAAGACATGTATCTAATCAGACATCTGGTTTTTAAGGAGTCATCACAGTTTAAATGTTTAAATAAGACATAAAACATTGCAGACATTTATTATTTTTTCTCTGTTAAAGGATGTGTCAACTAGGAATGGTTATACTGTAGGTCTCACTAATCTTTGGTGAGATAGCCTGCCTTGAGGGGACCCAATGTGGAGTTGAAATGTCACCACTTCTAATGTTACCATACCAAACAAAGTTTCAATTTCACTACTTAAGAGTAAGAGCGGGAATTCATGTTGGTTTCAACTTAACCCATGCTACCCCAATACATATATTTAAACATTTCTATTCCTGAAAAACATATGGATCATATCATTAAAAATCATATCATGAAATCTTGAGCTTAAGTTTACTAGTTTTAAAATTAACCGAAAATAGGACTGATAATTCATTTGTGGATTCAGAGCACAACACTAGTATTTGAAAAAAATATATCTAATTGAAATATTTCAGAACAATATCACACTGTTTTATTGAAAAATTCAATATGGCCACCAAGTAAGCAATACCTAAAATGTTGACACTTCCCTACTCTTGAATCTGTGAAAATTTTAAATTGAACAGATCAAGTTTTCCTTGAATTTTGATGACAAGATTTATGTGGCATCCCCTCACCCAGATGCAGACTTCCCATCAGCACCAGACAATGACAATATACCTTTGAAAAGGTTTATAAAAACTGAATATAAACATGATACTGCATATCTATATGAAACTATATGAAATTCTTCAATCTATTCATTGGTAATCTATTGGCTATTGATTCTTAATCTATTCCCTATTAAATGTTAATATATTGGCTATTGATTCTTAATCTATTCCCTATTAAATGTTAATCCATTGGTTATTGATTCCAATGCCCCTTAACATGGACCTGCAACATAACAGCAAGAATGCAGACAGTGCTATGGCTGGACTATAAATAAACCCAATCTTTCCTACATTATAGAAAGCACTGCCTTTTTAAACCAATCAGCTAATTGGAAGACCAGTCCATTTCCAAATGTTTCCACACACATTGTAATTTGCATAAGCTGTCCAGTAGATGGCATTTTTACACAATTAATGGAGTATCTATAGATGGGTGTCTACTTCATTTAGATCTTACCACTTTATTCTTATCTATTTTGAATTGTAAAACTTGACCCGCATGGCATTCTATTCACAATGGTACAGAAAGCATTGGTGATCTCATTAGAGGGACTGGTATGTATTATGTTGCAAAGGTTTCTCTGGCCAAACATTCTTGGTCCCTTTCAACAAATTTTAGTGGAAACACTTCTGAGAGGGGGAAATACTTAAAAACATACTGACTATCATAAAGAGTTAGATTAAATATTCTTAAATGTATAGGTGATGTTAAATGCAGAAATATAAAGTCCATGCCCCATGTTATTAAAAAAACACATTAAACTTCTTGGAAGTGAGACTGGAAATAAAACAGAAGAAGCCATTTCAACAAATATCCAGTCTGTTAATTTCAACATCATTTTCTGATATGAAAACAGTCTTTATATTTTCAGGTTGTCTTGGCTCCCCCCACCCTATTAAGTTATAATGAATAGCTCAACAGAGGCCAGAAACTGCAGTAACAAGTATTAGTGCATAGCTATGAACAAACCAAAAATCTGAGCTAATAATACCAAAGTACAATTGCATAGGAATTCAGACAGCCTTCTTGATATATAAACCAAACCTTGTTGCTGCAAACATGTAACTTGAACCAAAAACCTTTCACCGGCTAGTAACAAGTAACATACAGCTCACAACTATTTTTTCGATCTATGCACAATGGTCAGGTACTGATGAAAGTTTTTCAAGAACTTTCTGTGTTCATAGGGTGTAGGTGTAAGATGCCTTACTGAGATGCTATGTTTCGAAAGGGCCTGCAGGATGAAGAAATGGGAGTAAATCAGTCTGGGGTCATGAACTTTATGAAACCTTTACCACAACTCTACAAGCTCATATAGTTTATACATACTTTTACACTAATGCTTAATTAAAAAGGGCCTAATTAATGTAATTTAGGAAGTCTTATTGTATGCACCATGGGTCTTCCCCCTGTCCCCATCTCCTGCCTCACAGTCATTTTTTGTTTCAGTTATGACGAAATATTTTTTGAATTTGAAAGAGTTGATCTTTGGTTACTGTGAGTATGATATTACAGAAGAAATGTAAGAAATAGGAATAACGAATTCTAAAGTGATATTTCACAATCACCAGTGTGAGTATATGCTGTATAACATTGCACAATACACTACATGGCTACATATACATGGATGCTATTTATCACTTCATGATGTCAGAAAGAGCTATTTTCTTCTGGTGTTCAGACTTTTAATATCCACATATACATGTAATTTTAAACAAATCATGCCTAAAATAATAGTTCTTGTTTCTCCTTTGTTTGTTCAAGGGTCAAGTTGATGTAGACACACAGTATGTACAAGCTTGTTAAAAATGTTTATGTTGAAACTTTTGGAGGCAGATCCATAAGCAATCTGGGATTCTGCTGGTAATTTTCCATTGTAAAAACATATTCATCTATTTTACCAACTGCCAGACACCAACTCTAACATGATGGGGTAATTTAATAATTGTAAGGAGATATGAAAATCTTGGTCAAAAAAGGCAAAAACATTATCAAAAATTAGTGTGCTGGTAATCTTAAAAAAATCAATTACTTGATATGGGTGTTTGTAAAATTCAAAACAAATCTTAAATTTTACCTTGCTTTTGTCATGATTGCACCCCCTGACTTGAAAATCAAAAAAAAATTGGTGATCGCATCCCCCTAACTGAAAGCTGTACATTAAAACCTGTATATCCGAACACCTCTCTAATCTGAACATCTCTCATTGTTCCTCACCTTCTCCCATTGAATCACATATTAAGAAACCTTGAACCGTGAACACCTGCTAATCTGAATACTTCTGATCAGTCATAGTGGCGTTCAGGTTAGGCAGCTTTTACTGTATCATTAACCTAATTGGACAAATTCTATATGTGTCCAATAAGAATTAGAAAAACACATTTCCTTAATGAAACATATTGAACTTAAGAGGCTGTCTCTCACATTCGATCATTGTGACATCTTGTCTTAAATTACATATCCCAGTAACATGAAACCATGCAAATCCTAAATGCTAAAAACAATGTATGCCAAATAACATGTGTCCAAGATTCCAGTTTAGCATTAATGCAGATCTGTTGCATACACCTCTTCCTGGGAATATTTGTCAATCATTGAAAGTTGACTTCCCTCAATATCATTATGTTAAGGTTCTGACCACATTTTGAGATGTGTCAACTCTTCTAAAATATTACTAATTGGGCTTCCATTCCTCCAAACTTAGCTCAGTCCTTCATAAAGGAATATAGACAAGATGGCTCCTATATTTGGAAAGGAGTGATAATAGGAGATACATGTTGAACACCTTCCTTCAAATTGTGAACACCTTGGTCCAAATTGGAACACTGTGGTCCAAATTTTGGACACCTTGGTTCGAATTTTTATTGCTTATATCCACATTTTGAACACCTCCTGGCCTGGAGATAAAACAGGAACATCAATGTAAACAGCATGAGTTTTTGGCCTCAACACATAAATAAGTTAAATCTTTCTACTTACCTCGGGTTCCCTCTTAAAGCTGCGTGATGCAAGGAGTTGAATCCATTGTTGTTCGTCAGTGTGATATCTGCATGATTCTCAATCAAAAGTGACACCATGTCATCACGCTTTTTACTTATAGCATCATGCAGGGGAGTGTCGCCTTCAGAATCCTGGAACATAGAAACAATGGTGTACCATTGATCAAGGTTGAAACAATGGTGTAACACTGGTCAAGGTTGAAACAATGGTGTAACACTGGTCAAGGTTGAAACAATGGTGTAAAACTGTTAAAGGTTGAAACAATGGTGTACCATTTAAGTTTGAATGAAAATCCAATGTATTTTCAAAGTTGAATATAGAAGCAAAATTATGTCATGTTCATATAAACTTGGTAGTTCAATGCTAGAGATCCCTGGTCATATAGATGTACAAATAGATACTTAGTGAACCATTATAGTTTAAAATTGCCCCAGACTAAAGAATAGTTCTAAGGTGTGTTAACTACAGAGATGATAATCCCTTACTTGTAAACTAGCATGGCATCCAAGCTCTAAGAGTGTGCGAACTACACCTATATGGCCTTTATTCACGCCAATATGAAGTGGGGTTTGTCGCCTTTTATTGCGCACATTCAAATCAGCGCCACCTCTGTGTAATAGATCAATAACTTGGGCCTCATCACCAAATGCTGCGTGATGTACTGCCCTGTCTCCATCTTTGTCCTGAATAACAAAAGATTTAGCATCACATCTCATAAACAAAACACCAAACTTGAAATTGTATGTATCTTTAACTTGGGGAAATTTTTGGACCACATTCTTCAAAATTGTATGAAAATATAGCTGAGAATATTTTTAAGAATGTGATGAAACACAGAAACATTGATATCAATTCCATCTATTTTACTTTATTTTCACTGAGGGCATAAAGAAATATTTCAGGTTGTTTACATGTACTTAACTATGTCTGTTCAAATACACAAAAATTAAGGTGAATTTCTGGGTCTGTTTTCCAGTTGAGTAATTAACAAGTAAAAGTCAACATTTAGTTAGGTTTATTTTCAACCAGCATCTGTGAGTGTAAATTACTAATATAGAATGTATGTATAATAAATTTTCATGTGAAGGGCAATACAGATATATGCATACAGGCTGTTCAATAAGTAAAGCTAACTTAAAAGTTTTTGCTCAATATTAGCATATCACTGTTTAATGCAAGGCTAGTTGTATTCAGTTCCTGTGAAGTCAAATTGCATCCAAATATACATGTTTTGTGGGTTTATGATTTGCCCTCACATAACATACTTTTCAAGATTTTAACAATTTCATTTCAATTTCAGTAAGAGGGGGAGAAACCCCAGGGTTCAAATATGACATACGCTTATAATGTAAATCTGTATTGAGATGACATCGTCGCTGATTGGTTTAGCGAGTCGATCGTTGATTGGTTTCAAACTAGGTCAATTTGTAAACATTCGCCATTTAGTAAACAAATATACGTATTTCCGGGAAAGGATGTGCGCGAAGGAGGAAATCGTATGTCATCAATTTTCCCTCCTCTTAATTTCAGTGTAAGGAGACAATTTAAGAATCTTTTTTGAGCATTTTTACTATTGATTTAAAAAAACATGTTTTCTCGATTATATTTAAGTAGAATTATTTACATAATATTCAATGGTTTCGATAAGGGACACACATACCTCAATCTCAAAGTTGACGTCATATTTCATGAGGACTTTGATCACTTCAACATGGCCATTCTGGGAGGCTGCCTGCAGCGCTGTGTGCCCAGCAAATACTCCATTCACCTAAAACAACACATGAGTTAATTCTGTTAATGTTAATTTTTCTCCATTATGATTTTGGTTTTCTTGCCCATTTTATGATTCATGTACATTCTCATTAGGTGATTTTCTCTTTGGATCTTCTCTTTGGAACATTTTTCAAAGGAATATGATGTAAACAGTAATGTAAATATGATAGATATTCTGAAATTCTGTAAAGCAATCCCAAATAATATGAAATAGACACTTTCTGCAAATGGACGGCTCTTAGGACTGGAAATCTGCAACATACTATTCATATATCAAACACTGATACAAGGGGTGTCATTTTTAAAAATCTAACAAGTGGACGGGTCACTTTTCATTCACCCCAACCCCCCACAGGTTTGCCATTGCTTACCATAGCAACATCAGATTCTGGTCGTGCAAGGATCTCCTCACATTTGCTGGCATCCCCATTGGCTGCTGCTTTTACAAGTTCTTCATTGACATCACCAGACACATGCGCTTCAAATAATTTCTTCAGCAAAGCACTAAGGCGCTCTGTAAGAAAATCATATTGGATATTCTATTTTAAAGACCTTATATTTTACAATATTGGCTATATGTATCGTACATGTAAAAGATAGCGTTGTGCATTATTTGTCTTTTGGCTGAGCAATCACCCCCTCCCAAAATCAGTCACAATGACTGCAAAATATATTGATAATAATTCACATCATTATTTGATAAATTCAATCAGGCGAACTGACAGCAAATAATATTGACTAGTGGTGTAGATAAGTACTCACGTAGTCATCGAATCGTCTCATTACTATTTACTTATTACACGAGTCTGAGACTCACGAATTTGTATTCGTATTCGCGATTTCACAGCGAATCCTGACATCAAATGCATTGTTTTTTCTTACAAACAGGGTGAATCTATGTACAAATGATTCTTCCGTGTATCATTTGTTTTTATTTGAATGAATATGAGTAATAAATCTAATTTAAATGAAATATTTTTGAGTCTATTTTTTATTCCATGATTAATTCAGTCCGTAGAACCGGGAATGAAAGTGCTGCAACAATGTGTGGCGGGAAACATAAAATAAACAATATTTCAATTTTTGTCGTAATTAATCGTAAGTATGTTATTTAAATCGGTAGATATGGACAACTCTTGATATACCTAGCGTACCCAGGGTATTGTGCAAGTGAACAACATTGAAATAAAAAACGACCATATGACATGCAATGGTAAGATTTTTTCTTGTTTATTTTTTTGATGAAAAATTGCGATTCTTATTCGATCTCAGACTCAAAATCACGCGAATTACTAGATTCCAAAAATCCCCGCGAGTTACAACACTAATATTGACTCTCCATTTAGTGCTATTCTAAACAAGCGTGTTTCTATGTAGTACATGACAGACACAGTGTCAAACTTAGACCCATTTCAGTCTTTATGAATGAAATCTAAGAAAAAGATTCAGAGTGTTGGGAAGATGATGAAATCAACAGCATAAACTCATCCAAAACACTGTATATCTTAATATCTTACCTCCTGAAGAGTTACCCAGTGCTGCAGCATCTGCTGAGGCCACTTTAGTAACAGCTAAGGGACTGTATGTCCATGAAGTGCCACATACTTCAACCTTTAGGTCATTGTCATGGTAAATCTGTTGGACACGCCCTATCTTGCCAAGGGTCTAAAATATAGCAATTAGTTTGAGTTGAATTCAGATTTTTTAAACTTTAACCATTGAAATATCAAAATGCATCCAACTAACACAACGTTTCAACTTCAAAATTCATATTTTTTTCAAATTGAAGAGAACTAAGAGAAAAATATTGTGTAAATTCTAATGATTGTTGTACAACTGATTTTGATCATTGGTTTAACTGGCTGATATTATTCATTAGGATTATGTGTGTTTCAGTTTTACAAATATTGCCCTTTGTGCTTTCTCATGTATAGTATAAGCTTACAGGCAACATGGCTTCTGTCCATTCCCCATGTCCCCTCTGTTGGAGTTTGATCCTTTCTAGCTCATTACAGATCTGGACCAGGTCTCCTACTACAAACTGACCCTGTACACTACTTGGTTCACTGGACACTGATGCTGTACTACTGGTAGCTGTGGCTGTGTGGACCTTGGTTAAAACTGCTGGGTTAAATGTCCACCTGAAAATACAAATGTTTAAGTCATATCAACGGGCATTTTCCCCAGTTCATGTTCATTATGAATCTGAATGTTGATCATTTTTGATGTTAATGAATGTTGCCTAAAATCATTTCAAGCCTGACACTATTGGCAGGGGATGTGGATGGAAAATGCAAATATTCCTAATGCACAAGTGCGGGAAGGGATTTCGAAATAATTTTTTGCCACCCTCCCTGTCAATTTTCAAGTATTCCTTTCGAAAAAGAAAAAATTAACACACACTTTTGTATTTTTTCTGGGGTGGAGTAAAATCAGACATACATTCACATTCATCCACTTTGCACTCATTATACGATTTTGACATCACATTTCAGAATTGTTTTATCGTAAATATGATTGTGGGTTCATTTTTCTGATAACCAGACATGACAACAACATTCATAAGGACTTCTGTCCATGTGTCTTAGAAACCACACTCAAGAACCACAGATGCGTCAAAAAAAACACCAAGTGACAAGCAACCAATAAGAATGACAAAGCAATCAGACAGATGGACCTTTCTAAATCTGCTAAAACCTGCTTATTTCAAAAAATAATTTTAAAGATAGAAGTCTCCAAACTCATACATTTCTACAGCCTCATATTATGAACCCCCAAATGCCAATGCCATGCACCTAAGTCTTTACAATTAGCCCTTCCATCAAGTTAAATAAAAATAATGACTGGATTGCAGGAATATTTTGCAAGGGCAGGAAGTGAGAAGCTGGCCATGTCGCCTGTTAAAGTCACTGACAGATGAATGGCCCCTAGTGTGCTCTGGCAGCTGGGAAACAGCTGGGGAACAAAGGAGACATGTACTGTACATGTACTGTATAAGCTGTAATTCTGACAAGTTCAAACATCAAAATTTTGCTCAAAATGAAAAAAATAAGTTTCACCTATATCAATGAATAAGGTTATCGTTTAGCACAGGAACACCAATTTTTCTAAAATATTATGTTGCTGCCCATCATTGTTGGGTAAAAGGTAATGTGTCTTCTTTGGTAGACTCAGTCTGTATACAGTATGTATTATGCTGCATAACTAACTCATAGTTTCAAATTTCAACTATTTCACAAAATGTTTCTAAACATTGACATTGTTTTGTTTCCCAATTTTTCAAATATAAATTGCTTCACACGGTGATGTCAGAAAAATTTAAGAGGAGAGGGCTTTACTCATAATGAACCAAATGCATGTATGCATGTTTCAAAAGTTCAAGGTCAGCAGAATTATACATTTACAATTCTGAGGAAGAGTTGTCTTTACACAATTTAGCTAATCTCTATTCTCTATTGGGGTTAGTGTGAATGGTATCAAAAGGGTTATAAAAAATATATATATATATATAGGGGTTAAAAAATAGGGAGTTTAAATCAAAAATTAATTTTGAAAACGAGTGAGACACCAACGATTAGTACAAGAGAGAAGGCATGGTTGCATCTGTAAGTCTTTGTCTAGGGTCTGTCTATAAATAGAAGCCAGGAAGAGATAGCTATTAGCCAGGTCCATCCAGATGCACAGGCTTGGGTTTCAGATCAGATATATATCTGTCTGTTTCTGGGGGCCTCTAGGGGGCATATCATGCACTTACCAACCACACCTTTCCGAGGGGGGAGGAACTTTCCAAGGAATATCATCATACTCATTAATACATGTATACACAATTTGAGGAACATCTATTGAAAACCTGCACAATTTTGGATAACATGATTTCAATGAGAGACAAAAGGAGCACAAACTGAAAAATTTCAAAATTGATAATGGTCTACATCTTTGTGTTAAAATCTTGAACAGTATTAAATCTATAATGAAACTGAATACCATCCATGTTCTTTTAACTAACAGTTTCAAGTGTTTGTGATACTGAACATTAAAAAGAAACAATAAAAGGGTTGAATTTTTGTATCATGTTCTGACTGATCAAGTAACAAAATCAACACCTCAGAAGAAATTAAACTTTGATATTTTCTTTGTGTTAAAAACAGTTTGAGGAAGTGAAATGCAAGAATCTTATTTCAAAATAGTATTGTCTTACAGAGAAAGATAATTTCACAATAGACATACACGTACATATTTTCAATTTCATTAACTTTGAGATGATCCCTGGCATCTTGGAAGACACAAGTATGTCATCAATTTCCCTTTTAGCATCTTAGATTAACCCTTTAAATTCCAAAGATTCAGAGAAATTCTCATTTTCATATTAAAAAATATGTATTATGAGTTGCCAAACTGAATAGCTTACCATAAGAATCTGACACACAGAGGCTGAACAAATGCCAAGTGATGTTTACATTAGTAATATTTGGCATTTACTAACCTAAATATAATCTCAAATAAAAAGGAATATGATATGGTAATATCAAATGCAAGTTATGTGTTTTTAAGATTCAATAGTAATCTTGCATTGAAACAACTGGGTAATGTGTCTGAAATATCTCAGATAACTACATGTAAATGTAATATGGAAATTCAACTACAACTGTTTTTTTAGAAATGCAAGCATGTTACATTGTGATTTAACCAAAGTAATAAAATCAAGCACAAATTAGTTTCTAGGTGGCCTTGGTTACCCAGACTGATTTATGACGAAGACTACGTTGCTTTTTAACATTTTTATTAAAGTCAAAATACAGCTTTTTGAAAGTAAGTTTTCTCAGAGCAAACTTAAACAAGGATGACATCTATATTCTATATACACTCAAATGCAGACCTTTGGCATCTTTCTAATAGTTCAGCCCTGACATCTTTAATTGCTTACAGTGCACATATTGCAAGTTTCTTGATGGTTGCCTAGCATTAATAAAATTATGGTAACTATGGTAACCACTACAATGGGAATATAGGGACACATATTAATTAAGCTACTTTTTGGTTGTTACACTAAAGAAATTAACATATAATATGTTACAGACATACATATTTTTGTATTTGTAAGAATCTCACCTGTTTGCACTGGGGTATGAGACCACTATATCATGGTCTTCATCGATGCCTACCACAGAGCCAGTTGTACCAAGACACTGAAATAACATGAACATCAATCATAAAATCTTGTTCATCATTAAAGAGTACATGTATTCTTTCAGACTGTGTAGGTTGGTTTTTACTCTTTGAAGTATATGCATCAAAAAGACATTTATATTGTTGTAATCCAACACGATATGCATGTACAGCTGGTTCAGTACTGGTGGTAGCCTAACCAGTTCAATCAAAAAAGTGGAAAAAAGTAGGTCAAATTGAATCATGATAATCGAGCTCATTTTGGACAAATCTAGGGTACAAAAATAAATGTGCTGCCATGAGACTTCATGTTTTTGTCAAACTCAAACGCTGCAAATCCAGGCAACCTGCTCTTGTGGCATCAGTTTCCGATCAGATCAGCATCAGCTTTTAAACCAATAAAAGAGTGTGACATATAATTTGATTGGTAAGATATAGGTCAAAACTTTGTCTTGTCTTGTGTACTGTTAATTCCTGGGAAAAATTTACATCTACCAGGTGATCAAAGTGTGTCAACGAAACACAATATGCTGTCAATTCTGCATCAGGATTAATCAAATGTGCGTAAAAACGGTAAAAAAAACAGCTCTAATGTATGTATAAAAAAAACATACTATCGATAATGGTCAATGGATTAAACTCAACTGGACTTGCCACACATCCTTTCTTCTTAATCTAAAATTTTCAAGACCACAAAAAGTGACAAATGGTAATGCTTCCTACCTCAAACATGCCATCGGTCCAGCCTCCATGGCCATGCTGTAAAGATTGCACTATTTCTAGGTCCAGATCAACGTTAACCTGGTCGCCTATCACAAGACCTCCAGGACCTGACCTTGACCCTGGACCTTGTTCACCTGTAAAATATGAAAGTATGATCACCAATATCCACATTTTATGACAACTGTCAGTGATGAGAAGTTGAGGATCCTTGAATGAAACAACAGTGAAGTTAGTTTTGTCAAATTTGACTTCTGGTAATAAAAGTTATTAAAAAAATAAAGAGGCTTTAGCATGGAAAAATGTCAACACCTGTAAAGTGTAACAAAGTCTAGACAAGGTTTCTACATTGTCAACACCTGCCATCTGTTAGAGAAGTCAACTGCCGAACAAACAGCCAAACACCAACCACAAAAAGTTGGAGATTAGAACAATACTTGTATGTCACCACCACCAAGTGATGGTGTCTGAAACAATATGCTGCCACTTCTTGGAGATGACATAAAAACTATTTTTACCTAATAATGGCAGGTGGTCCCTGTAGAATGAACCCCCTTTGGCATCATTAACAACTTTCAAGTCAGCCTAAAACAGAATTATATCAATGTCATTAACTGTCATTGTTATGATTTCATATGACAGTATGCATGACAAAAAGAAAAGGAATAATACATTTCAAACACTGAAGTGGCGATTAACATGCATCATACAAAACACGATCTATCAAAAACTGAAATTAGTTGTTTTTTTAAATTATTTCATTGTTTTTACAAAAGACAATATTGAAGTGTTACAAATATCTATTTGAAATGAGATATGGTATTCCACACAAGAATGAGTGTAGAGATATGCTCAAAAGGGATTTTGATATAAAATATTCCTCTTACCATTCCCTCAAAACCAACTCTGTATAAATTTTTAGCTCCATTATCCCATAAAACATAAGCAGCACTGCGGGGACTGGCTGCACTCCAATCCTAAAACATACGGCAAATGTGCAAACATCTAAAAGATATCTAAACATTTCATTTGATTACCTCAAATTTTTTTCATTGAATCAGACTCTTATTTTAATTAAATTACTTTTTTGATTTATATTCTCTTATCTTTATCTATTTTTCTGGAAAGAAGGATGTGTCCATATTGCTTCATTCCATTAAAATAGTTGCACTGTTATGTAATGATGAATTGATAAGAATCCCAATATCCATCAAGTGTTGGATCTTAAAATTCACAAAGCATTGCCCAAATAATAATTTCAATTAAAATGGAAACATTAGGTGGACTCACATGGTGAAAAAAGCTTATTTCTCTAATTGAGGTAAGATGAGCCAAGACCAATGGTGTAAATTATCTTCATAAAAGTATCTTCATAAAATACATACCATCCGTAGGAGCATAAGTTCTAAAACCTGAGTCCACTTTTTGAAAATAAACCCCAAAAAGCCTTAGGCTTTAATGAAATAAAAATGACAGTGCACTTTTGATGTAAACATCCAATTGCTTGATTCAACTAATGAATCGACAAGAAATCGTTGCCTTGGTAGTTACTAAAACTGTACCTGTATTTCTGTGACTTTTCCTCTACGCCCATTTCCACCATCTTGGTCTTCCCATTGCCAATCGACTCCTCTTACCACCCGGGCCCCAGGGAAAATACCCCGAATTGTGATCTTTTTACTTTTTCTTCGAGGCTCCACAGGAACTCTGAAATTACACAATGAATCAAAGGACTCATATTTTTCGTATATATGGAAGAACACTACCTTTGTTAGTATAAACTCTCTCGGCTGGTAATGTGAAATGTTTCATTTGTGACAGTCATTTCAGATGTGTTACCTTTTTTGAACTTAAATTGGATGATAATTGCTACTTGCTACTGGTCCTATTTATGTAAACTACATACAACATGTCTTTAACTGGGATCTTGATTAGTTCACTAGAAATCAAATTACGGGTATAGTCAGATTTTATACCATTCAAATCACTCATCTGACTCGATGTAGGCTGTCAGTCAGACAAAGGATACCAAGACTGTTCAAAATATCATTTACCTGTCACTTCCGGGTGCTGTTATTCTGTAAAATCTGTGTCGTAAATTGTGTTTGTCTCCATGGTAGCACACAGAGCAAAGGTCATAATTTACACATTCTGCACATTTCCATCGTATTCCAAATATGGGCTGCTGTCTACATGTATCGCACATTGTACCATCATGCTTGATTCCTAGAACATAATAAGCATAATGGTAGGTCAAGTCAGATTTGACATTCTGACCCAGGAATAATTTTTACATCAACCAACAAGGTACAAACATGACACAATGTCAACATTATGAATCTTTTTTGACCCTGAGAAGGTCATTAAAGGTCAAATCTAAAATCTATAGTCAGATTTGAACTTTTGAGAACTTGTAGATGATTTTGAAAGAAAAATTTGGTCATTTTGAAGCAAGTTGAAAAAATACCTTTTTTGACCTTGAGAAGGTCATTGGAGGTCAAATCTTAAATCTTGAGTCAGATTTGAACTTCAGAAAACTTGTAGATGATTTTGAAAAAAATTGAAGTCAGTCTATACCTTTATACCTTTATACCAATAGTTCTGGAAGAAGGATGTTTCCTATATGATCCAGATCTTTTTGTGTTGTTGTGTCTTACTAATTAATTGGTGGGGGGGGGAGTTGTTATAATGCTCACTGGACATGGGTTTAGAGAATCAGCTATGGTAGTGGTACATCTGGCTTGCTAGATGTCTGTCTATTTCATTCTTGAACTGGTTGATACTTTCCACATCAATGGCAGACTGGGGTAGACTGTTCCAGGTATTCACAATTCTGTTGCCAAGGACATTTTTTCTCACATCAAGTCTGCTATATCTGTGATCTAGTTTTTCTGTGTTTCCTCTTGTCCTGGTATTATCTGATTTCTGGGCGATGTCACTGATTTGTATTCGGTCGTAACCTTTTAGAATCTTGAAGATTTGGATAAGATCACCCCTTATTCTTCTATACAGTAAAGAGGGGAGTTTTAGTTGTCTCATTCTTTCTTCATAGCTTAAATCTTTCAATGGTGGTACTAGTTTTGTTGCTCTTCTTTATACTCTTTCAATTTTGTCAATATCCATATAGGTGTGGGGGTTCCAGACACTGTTTCCATATTCAAGGTGAGGCCGGACCATGGATTTATATAGGAGTGGTAAGGTGGTTCTATCAAGATGGGAGAAAGTTCTTTTTATTGTCCCAAGAATACTGTTGGCTTTGGATACTTGTTTATCTACGTGTTGGTGGAACTTGAGTTTGCAGTCAATATTGATTCCAAGGTCCTTTTCCAATGTTGTTTGCTCCAAAGTTTTGTTGTTCATGGTGTAGTTTTGTTTCTCATTGTTGGTACCTAGATGCATCACCTTACATTTATCTGTATTGAAAGGGAGTTGCCATTCTTTTGACCAATTTGTTAAACTGTCCAGATCTGTTTGTAACTGTTCTTTATCTTCTTGGTCTTTGACTTTTCCATACAGTTTTGCGTCATCTGCATACATAAGAAGCTTGTTCCGTGTGGCATCTGGGAGGTCATTTATAAACATTGCAAATAGGGATGGTCCAAGGCAGGTCCCTTGAGGGATACCTGAGAGAACAGGGGCCCACTCAGATGTCGTTCCATTCACTGATACTCTCTGGAGTCTATTAGTTAGAAAAGATCTGATCCAGACAAGTACAGAGCCTGTTATTCCATAAGATTTCAATTTTATGAGCAGACGTTCATGCGGGACACTGTCGAACGCTTTGCTAAAATCTGTGTAGATTGTATCCACAGGGTTCCCGTCATCGATGTCTTTGGTTATATTCTCAAGGTAAATCAAAAGATTAAGAACTGTGGATCTTTTGGGTACAAAGCCAAATTGGTCATCTGTCAGTATCTCATTTTTGATTAAGTGTTCTACAATTTCATCTCTCACGATTTTTTCCAGCATTTTCACTACTATTGAGGTTAGGCTAATTGGTTACTTGGCTTTTTCTTTCTGTTTGTGATGTTTTGTCTTGTTTTTTCACTTCCTTTTTTGTATATGGGTGTGATGTTGGCATATTTCCAATCCTTAGGCAGTGTGCCAGATCTCATGGATTTATTGAAAAGTAGGGTGAGGGGGGTGATAAGGGATTTAGCCGCTTCCTTCAGAGGGTGGGGGTGGAAGCCATCGGGGCCGGGTGACTTATTTGTATTCAGCTTCGACAGCTGGAGTGCTACCATTTCTTCTGTGATGTTAATTTCTTTTATTACCTTTTCATATGTAGATTCTGTCATTTTTGGTATGTTATTTAGGTCTTCTTTGGTGAAAACACTTGAGAACTGTTTGTTCAGAGCCTCTGCTTTTTCTCCATCTGTTGTCGTCTCAGTTCCATCATCCTTCAGTAGGGTAGAGATGGGTTCCTCTGTGTCCTGTTTAGATTTGGTGAATTGCCAGAACTGTTTTGGATTTTCTTTAACTTCTAGAGCAATTTTTCGTTCATAGTCATAACTAAGTTTGCGGGTATATGCTCTTAAATTGTCTCTGGCTTCTTGGTAATGTTTTAGATTCATTTCACTTTTGGTTGCTTTGTAGTTCTTCCAATATCTATACTTTTTACGACTCATCTTTATGGCAGTTTTATTAATATATTTATTTTTACGTTTATCCCTTCTGGGGGTTATTTTGGGGATACACTCTTCTATGGCTGCATTATAGGTAGTTTTGAAGAATGACCAACTGTCCTCCATGGATTTGTTATTTAAATTGTGATTCCAGTCTGTTTCACTCAGTATAGTTTTCATTTTTTCGTAGTCACCTTTATTGTAAGCTAGTCTTGACTTTAGTTGTTTTTTGAGTTTCCTTTTTTTGTTATAGCTGGTTTTTATCAGTAAACATTCATGGTCACTTAGTCCGATACCTGGCAGGTGTTCAAAGTATTCAACTGTGTTCTCATCTTTGGTTAGGATCAAATCACATATACTTGGCCTACTACTCCCTCTGGATCTAGTTGGACTTTTCACATGCTGTATGAGGTAGTTGTCACTTATACAATTTATAAATTTGTGTGATGGGTGACTTTTACAATCTGAGGTAGTGGTTGTTTCCCAGTCAATGTTTGGGTAGTTGAAGTCTCCTACTATGAGTAACTTGGCCCATCCTTCACATGCTCTATTTATTTGTTTGATGAGATTATCATTATTTTCCACGTCTGAGTTTGGGGACCTATATATGGCTCCAATTAACATATTTTCTGACTTTTGTTTTGTTTTCATGTTAGAAGAGATTTCTAACCATATACTTTCACTATATACATCAAAGTCCATAATATTTACACTATTTACAATGTCTGTTTTTATGTATACAATAACTCCTCTCAATTTATCAGTTTGTTGTGCATCACCAAAATTTGATATCATACTGTAATTGTCTAATTTAAAAACTTGTTCTGTAAAAACATCATCATAATTTTTTGGTAATACCTCAACGATGATCATAATATCTGGGCTGTGTTCCATGGTTAAAATCTTAACTTCTTCAAGCTTGTTAGTTAACGTGTCTGCATTTGTGTACATAATATTCAGATAATCATTTTTAAGTCACCAGGCTGCTGCTCCATCCGGGCGATCTGAGTCTGATGACTCATTCAGATTCACAACTACTGGATTCATTCGAGGTGGTAGAGGGGGTATTGTTGGAATATTCTTGGGGGGTGTTGGCAATTTTCGGTGATATCCTTCAGATTTCTTAGTTTTCGGGGAAGTGTTACGATTTGGAGTTGGTAGCTTATATAACACTTTGGGGTCTTCCGATTTTGACTTTGTAGCAGTTGTGGGAGTGGGGGCCTTAGTTTCTTCTTCCGATTGTGGCTTGCTTTTCTTTGGTGATACATTTTCTACTCTGTTTTCTTTAGGCGGTTGTCTGCTGTGGGGATTCCTAAGGGCTGCTGGTTGGTTGGTATCAGGAATGTCACTATTATTATTCTTTTTTGTGTCCTTTTTTGTAACGATTTTCCCTCTGTAAATGGTGAGGTTTTGTTCTCCTTGGGTCTTGCAGGTATTAGCTCAGCTCGTAGTAGATTGTTTTGTTTCCGTTCTGTGGGGGTTAGGTCTGGGGTAATGTAGATGTTGCTATATTCTTGGGAGTCTCTCAGCTTCCTCGCTTTGTATATGGCCTCTCGTTTTGTATTTGTGTCTTTGACTTCAACTAAAAGTAATCTGGGTTTGTCGCCTCTGGGGCCTAATCTAGTTACACATGCTATTCTCGGCTCGTATATGTTGAGTCCATTTCCCAGAATATCAAGTGCTGTTCCCTTATCACAGAGGTTGTTTTCATGGGGGCTCATCATCTCTGGCTCTGTTATATTGTGCATAATCATATTATTCTTTCTCTGCTCTTTTTCTATATACTCGCTGAGGGTGTTGGAAGGGTCGGGGTTCATTGACATTAGGGGTTTTATGGGGGTATTTTGTGGGTTCTCGACTTTACTCTCAGGATTCTGTACTACACTGGCATATGATTCTTTACTGGTCATACATTTCTCTATGCTATTTTGATTCAAGATCATCTTATCAAGAGTATTCTTAATGTCTACTTTAAAAGTATGCAGTTCACATGTGATGGCATCGATTACAGGTTCAAGATTTGTCGTAATCTTTGGGGTTGTATGCGTAGACTGGTTTAACTGTGCCATTACTACAGGTTCACAATCTTTGCAGAACCAATGAAGACTGGGGGTTTGGGAGAGACATTTAAAAATAGTCTTTTTGATATTATGACACTTTGGACAACACCATTTTTTACATTTTTCACATTCGAGGTTTGCTGTCTAAACAGTATTTGTTAAGTTATTGGAAGTTTTAAGAAGTTGATACAGATTCAATCACCATCCACCAATCACCAACTGCCGATCGCCAACTGCCGTCACAAAAAATGGAGATCATAACAATATGTCACAACTTTTTGCCGGTGACATAATTATATTTCACCTCAATTGGACTGATTGCTTCATTTTGATAGCATACAATTCAACAAGTTACATTTTACCAAATTACAAGTCATATCCTAAGGTTGAAACAGTAATAAACATAACAATAGCATATCACAACACCAGAGAAAGGTACCAGTGAATAAACAAGCACTAAGATAGCATTTCGGTGACTTAAAATCACCTAAATATAGGATTCAACCAACCAACCATTCCCACTCTCTTGACTCGGACAGTATACACAGGGGTCTTATTGTTGCAGGCAACACGCGATTTTCACAGGTTGTTTTCACAAAATCGCCTGTTGTTTTTTGGGACTTTTCAATGTAATTTATGATTTCCATTAATTTTGCCTGTTGTTTCTAGTCGAAAACCCTGATACAGGAGACTTCAGTGCGGACAGTAAATAATAAAGGGTGCGACTAAAACACCATTGAGTTATCTTGCATGTTATGTGATTATCTTGAATGTTATGTGATTTTACTGCCATTGGTCAATATGTGGCAAGCTCTCTGCACCATGCTAAAAATACTGAACACCAAAATTAAACGAACAGAACTGAAAGGTGGTTGAAAACAAACACCTGTCTAGGCTAATCATAGGACTAGATCTATCTCTGGATCAGGCTGTAAACATATCAAAATCTTACCAGTGGGTGCACTGTCATATATCCTAAGGTCGAAAGCTCCCGCACAGCGATAATTCGCTGCCGTGCCGTTGTCCCAAACCACTACAACTTCTTCTGGTGACTCAAAATTTCTCACAGTTCCCAAGTGTCCTTCCCCACCGTCTTGTTTACCCCACTTCCAGTCGGGACCTCGAACAACCCGAGCTCCGACACCCTCCATCATATTCACCCGAACAACTCTATTGCTTCCTCCACTTGAAGAATCCATTATGTAGCTGTTTTAACACCCTATTTTGATTGTTTATGAAAAAAATAAAAAATTTGTCGAAAATGGCGACAATTTTCTGTTCTCGCGCAGTTTAGCGAGAGTTTGAGCGAGACTTCGGAAAAATGCCTACAAAAAAGTAAGATCCTAGATTTTATTACTTTTCACCTCTTATATGCACATTTATTCCAATTATTTTCATGTTTAACTTTAAGCAGCTTGTGAATTTCATGATAAGGTTAAGCTATGAAATATACTTTGACTAAAACTTGACTAATACTCGATCAAAGTACAGTTAGAAATATTATGTGGGCGATAATAGAGTGAACATTTCACGTGTATCTTTGATTCAGTGTTTTGCACAAGCCAGACAGTCAAATCGTTTATTTGAGATGACTTAAATGCTATACTTATCACCCTTTTAATTATCGTTTCGACAAAAGTCTTGGGTTTACTCTTTGTTTTTTGTCAATATTCTTTTTCTTTTTTTCAAATCCGATCTACCTCTTTTAGGGCAAAGGGGTGTAACGTCGATGTGTGTGGTAATGCCGACATGAAAAATGGGTTAACTTCGTCACTTATTAGAATTTAATGGAAAATAAAATCTCACGAGATCTCAATCCATTTGAAAAAAACATGGCTTCCCCTCGAATGGAAATTAGAGAAAATAAACAAGAAGGTGTCAAATTGTCGACGTTTCGCCAAAAGGGTGTCAACGTTATACCCCTTTGCCCTTCAGTCTTCCAAACAATTTTTTGGCAACTTTGAATCTAAATAATAAGCAATCGAAGGATCATATTGCAACAGTGTATGAAGAAAAAAGTAAGACCTTTTGTAATATTATGGTTTGTTTGGTAGTATGGCTCTCATATTTGTCCATGCAGTTGCTGTCAACATGGTCCTTCGATTGCTTATTTTTTAGATTCATAGTTGTCAAAAAATTGTTTGGAAGACTGTAGACAAGTAAATTCAGTGGGGAGTAAGTCACCCTCCCCCTCACAATGCTATAGAAAGTATTTTCAATAGCGTATATCTATAGCATAATGAACTTGGGGGGTTAACTCCCTGTGAGTAAGCCACCCCCCATATTTATTGCGCTATAGTATTAAATTATTTCTATAGCCTAATAAAGATGGAGGGGGGTGACCTACTCCCTATGGTAAGTTCGTCCCAATGTTGTTATTTTACGTTTCTGTTTGATGATTTGGATATTTGTCATTTCATGTTTTAAACTTTGGGACAAGAAACTCTTTTAGGTTAGATTATGTAAAACACTTTCCCAGCCCTTCTGTCCAACCAGTTCCACATATCATAAAGTCCATATCAATTACCCCCATAAATGTAGGGTTGATTGCCCAAACTGTATTTGTCTATGTTGGTAATTGCTGAAGGAATCATGATTCCATGATGAATCTAATATACTGTAATTGCTGAAGGAAGAATGAATCAAGTATAACTCACTCTGTACATGGTGCAAAAATGTACCTTGGTTTGAAAGCCAATTAAAATCAGTTTCGACAAATGAACATTTCATCAAAATTGTTTATCACATTAAGTCTATTAAATAATTAATGTAATTGATGAACTTTATTTACATTTATTATGCAGCCATTTGTATGAGGCAGTGGTACTCATGCTTTGCTTTGTATTGTTTAGAGACCTCGGTGACATGTCTTGGGATGACTTCATGAAAGAAGGTATAGATGGCAGCGATGCTAGTGATGATGAACAGGAAGAAACTTCTGCTAAAGTAACAAAAAAGGACCAAACAAAAAAGAAAAATACATCCAAAGTAGCCAGTGTTGAGAAGACTGAAAAACGAAAGAAAGAGACAAAAACAAAAACAAACAGCCCTATTGATGAAAAGAAATCTCAAGCAAACAGCAAGGAAAAAAACATTTCTAAATCAGAAAAAGATGTAAAACAGTCAAATAAGTCCAGTACAGATAAAAAAGGGTATGTAAATGTTTACATATGATTTACAAAAGTTTTGGAAAATTCGTGAAATATAATAGCCGCGAAATTCCAGTTTTAATTCGCGAAATTTGACAGTCCCGAAATTCAAAGTAAATTCCTGGGGATTTCAATGTTGACAATACATGTATTTTCGTCCAGTGCTTGGCGATAATAGGTAAAAACATGACATTTTGAGTTTAAAAAAGAGAAATTAGAATAGAGGCTTAATAAGATGCCAAAATAATTGGGTGAAGGAACAACCATGGCTGATATGAAAGTCAAAAGAGTGATCCTGTATGACAAATCTGCAGAAATTAATAGCTGCGAAATTAAAAAAACTAAAAATTAGCGAAGTATAATAGCCACTAAATTTCAAAATGCCAAAAAAGCGAAAAATAATTGCTTCAAATATTAGTGGGAGTACAGTATTTCAATTTGAAATAAGAGCCTGTTAAGAAGAATGCTAATTGTGCTCCCTGTTTCATTATGTATAATTTCAATTTTTTGGTATTAATATTGTTGAACGTGTGAATTAATTATGTACATTTTTAATTGTCCTCATATGATGAAAATGATATTTTTTTAGAGATAAACCGATAACATCAGGCAAGAAGCATAAAGAACAACTTGAGAAACTAAAAGAACGAGATCCAGATTTCTATGAATTTTTACGAAATGAGGACAATGCCTTGTTGAAGTTTGATGTGAGTGATAGTGAAGAAGAAGATGATGAGGGAATTGATGAAGAGTCAAGCAGTGAGGAGGAAGATGAAGATGGGGAAGGAAGGATGCATCAACTTCCTGATAAATTAGAGGTTAGTCTGCAGTATATCAACAGGAAATTTATTGCAAAATCTCATTTATCTATTGGGATTAGAAAATATATAAATTACAGTAACAAAATATCCCAATCTTTAATGAATCTTTTTAAATGGGCTGCATAAAAGTAAGTACACAAGCAGTACTAAAAACATGTGAACTGTAATGTGCATTTTGCTCAAAAAAGTAAAAAGACAGTGCCACATATTGACATTTTGCCTGAAGCTCAAGTTGGCAAATTTCCTTCTTGCTGAGGATGCACTGATTCCATTGAAATATATAAGTGATTGTAAATACCTTTCTCAGTGGGTCATGTGAAGCAGCAATGTAGTCACAAACATAGATCACAATTGACGTGACAGCTGTCCTTTTAAGAGAAATTCTGTCCATCGTCTGTATTCTGTATATGTAAATAGTGAACATGCTTTATTTTTGAACAGGTGGCTAGTGATGCAAGTGATACAGATGATGATGATGATGAAGAAGATGATGAGAAAGTGGAAGCAATTGATAAACCAGAAAAGCTCATCAAAGTGAACATGAAACTTATCAACCAATGGTCTAAAGGATTACAGGTAAAAGTGTCTTTACTTTCCTACTAGGCATGTGAATGATGTCTTACAATCACATACCTGTCCAATTCAAAATTAGTACAATGGTCCAGCCAAAGTTTTCCTATAGCAAAAAATCTGATTTGATATGGAACAAGTTGTGTGATAAACAACTTAGTACAATAATAACTTATGTCACCCCATTTTACAAGATCACCTCGTTATTTTACAGGCTAACTCCCTACCAGCAATACATCAGGCCCGTAGGCAGGATTTGCCAAGGGGGTTCAGTTTTCAAAAATCTCCAGGAGGGTTCACATTTGACAATTTTGGCCCAAATATGGCTAAAATCACTTGAGAAGTGCTCAAAATGGTGAAAAACTGCATGATTTTGAAAAAATTTTGGCCAGGGTGGTTTGCCCGAGCCCTGCGAACCCCCCTGGCTACAGGCCTGTACATGATATGGTACAGGCATTTAAGGCAATCAGCAATAATGTTATTATCCCATCGAACAAAGTTTGGAGGGATATAGGGAACGCCTCCGTCCGTCCTTACGTACGTCGGTCCGTCCGTCCGGGCAATAACTCAAATACCGTTGGCCCGATTTTGTTCATATTTTGTACACACATACCATATGGGGGTAGAAGTTCTGCTCGAAAGTTGATTTTCAAAATGGCCGCTCATTTAAAAATGGCGACCATTTTAGTGCCGATTTTACAGTAATTTAGGTACATTATGTAAAACTGTAATAGCAATATGTTTTAAATGTAAAAAAATTATATAGGACATTGATAAAGCTAGAAATGTAGATTTTAAAGAAGCACATGGCAGCCATCTTGAAAAATGGCGGCCTTTACTCGTTATTTTACGATTTTTGCTATAACTTAAGAAGTAGTTGAGCGATTTTGTTCATATTTGGTATGTGAATACTATAAGTATGGCTCACTGTCTAATGACACTTTTGGTAGGAGGTGGCCATTTTGAAAAATGGCCGCCATTTTAACATATTTTTCAATAACTCAAAAAGTAGTGGAGCGATTTTGTTCATATTTGGTTTGTGAATACTATAAGCATGGCACACTGTCTAATGACAATTTCGGTAGAAGGCGGCCATTTTGCCGCCATTTTAACATATTTTACTATAACTCGAAAAGTAGTGGAGCGATTTTGTTCATATTTGGTATGTGAATTATATAAGCATGGCACACTGTCTAATGACACTTTTGGTAGAAGGCGGCCATTTTGAAAAATGGCCACCATTTAAACGTATTTTACTCGGCCTTTACTCATTATTTTACGAGTTTTGCTGTAACTTGAAAAGTAGTGGAGCGATTTTGTTCATATTTGGTATGTGAATACTATAAGCATGGCACACTGTCTAACGACACTTTTGGTAGAAGGCGGCCATTTTGAAAAATGGCCACCATTTTAAAGTATGTTACTCGAAAAGTGGTGGAGCGATTTTGTTCATATTTGATATGTGAATACTATAAAAAAAGCATATTACTTCTTCTGATGACAACTTGGCTAGTGAGCAACCATTTTGAAAATGGTGGCCTTTCTTATGTGTGTTATTTTATGATATTTGCTATATATTTCGTTTGTAAAAATGCCAGCCATTTCTGTTCGATTGGATTCGCTACGCTTTGGCGTTGCCATTGTTCTTGTTTTACAGGCTAACTCCCTATCAGTGATACATGATGTAGTACTGTCATTTTATGCAATCAGCATAGGTTTTATAATGTTATTTTACAGGCTAACTCCCTAGCAGTGATACATGATGTGGTACTGGCATTTAAGGCAGCTGTACACCAAGCAGGCAGCGATGACACTGTTGTGACCAAATACAGAGTCGATGACAGCTCAGGTAAGTCTCGTACTATTAAACATAGGGGATCTTATTTGTATTGCCATATGGGCAATAAATAATACTTGAGTTTCACATATGCATTAAGCATTCCTTCATTTATGTTCTAGTGTTTAATGGCATTATCCGACTATGTGTTAGTGACTTGTTACCAACCTGGCTGAGGATACTCAACTTACCAAAGCAAGAGAAAAATGCCAAGAAACCTGTGTTACCAACCAGAAGTAACAAGTGGGGCAAGATTCGCAAAGATGTGAAGGTGTACTTAATGGACTTAATCCAGGTTTGTTGAGGTCTTCATTCGGACTATAGAAATCTTAAAACTTGATTTACCTAACGTGCATTATCATAATCAGATGTTGATAAAATACTATTTTGGCATTTCTTAATTTCCTTTTCATGTACAAACTGAACTTTTTATTTGAAAATAGATTCCTTATATCTCTTACCCAGTCAATTGGTGACTTGTAATTTTCCAATACTAATTCCATGGATGATCATATATTGACCAATAAAATAAGAGTATTTGGACTGCGTGTCTAACGATATATATTATTATATTCTTTAATGTTTCAGCTGGTGTCAGAGTTATCAGTCACTGAGATGATAAATGTGATTTTACGTCATATTAGTAAACTTGTCACATTCTACAATAACTTCCCAAAGCTTTCTAAATCCTTATTGAAGGTGAGTGAAATGATGTCTATCTTCAATTTTTTATTTTTGTAAAATAAGAATATATTTTAATCTTCTATTTTTATGTCACCACTACAAGTGTCTCCAACATTTTTGTGGATGGTGTTTGGCATTTGGTGTTCGGTGGGCAGTATCTGGCATTCACCATCTCTAACAAATGAAAGCTGGTGACATTTTGCATGTTTACAAATTTCACCACATTTAATACAAAATCTATGTACTGTTGATCACAAAATTGCCCCAAGAATCACAGCTAGCTATTTAAGGGTATCCACTCCCAATGCCAAAACAAAGGCTTTCCATCATATTTTCTTTCACACGTTTAAAATATGTTATTCAGAGGCTTATTAAGATGTGGAGTACTGCAGAGGAGTCTACTAGAGTGTTAGCTTTCCTGTCTATCAATAGAATAGTTCGCTTGAGACAGGACACTCTGCTTGAACCAATGTTAAAGGTAGGTACAGACCTCTACAGTGTATTATCTGTCTTAACTAACTTTTCTGTTGATCAGTTTAATTTGATCAATGTTAGAAACAAATTTTCTTATGAACAATTCCAAAAATTAGATCAAAAACTGTTCCACTTGTGTACATTTTTATTATGTCACCACCAAAAGTGGTGACATATTGTTATGGTCTCCGTTTTTTTTGCGACGGCGGTTGGCGTCCGGCGGTTGGTGGTTGGCGTCCGGCGGTTGGCGTCTGTAACAATTTCTTACAACTTCCTATAACTTAACAAATACTGTTTAGACTGACTTCAATTTTTTTCTAAATCATCTACATGTTCTCAGAAGTTCAAATCTGACTTTAGATTTGACATTTGACCTTCAATGACCTTCTCAAGGTCAAAAAGGTCTTTTTTCAACTTGCTTCACATTGACTAAATTTTTTTTCAAAATCATCTACATGTTCTCAGAAATTCAAATCTGACTTTAGATTTGACATTTGACCTTCAAATCTGACTTTAGATTTGACATTTGACCTTCAATGACCTTCTCAAGGTCAAAAAGGTCTGTTTTCAACTTGCTTCAAATTGACTAAATTTTTTTTTCAAAATCATCTATGTGTTCTCAGAAATTCAAATCTGACTTAAGATTTGACATTTGACCTTCAATGACCTTCTCAAGGTCAAAAAAGGTCAAAAAGGTCTGTTTTCAACTTGCTTCAAATTGACTACAAAAAATTTTCAAAATCATCTACGTGTTCTCAGAAATTCAAATCTGACTTTAGATTTGACTTAAGATTTGACATTTGACCTTCAATGACCTTCTCAAAGTCAAAAAAGGTCAAAAAGGTCTTTTTTCAACTTGCTTCAAATTGACTAAATTTTTTTTTCAAAATCATCTACATGTTCTCAGAAATTCAAATCTGACTTTAGATTTGACATTTGACCTTCAATGACCTTCTCAAGGTCAAAAAAGGTCAAAAAGGTCTGTTTTCAACTTGCTTCAAATTGACTAAAACAAATTTTCAAAATCATCTACGTGTTCTCAGAAATTCAAATCTGACTTAAGATTTGACTTAAGATTTGACATTTGACCTTCAATGACCTTCTCAAAGTCAAAAAAGGTCAAAAAGGTCTTTTTTCAACTTGCTTCAAATTGACTAAATTTTTTTTTCAAAATCATCTACATGTTCTCAGAAATTCAAATCTGACTTTAGATTTGACATTTGACCTTCAATGACCTTCTCAAGGTCAAAAAAGGTCAAAAAGGTCTTTTTTCAACTTGCTTCAAATTGACTAAATTTTTTTTTCAAAATCATCTACATGTTCTCAGAAATTCAAATCTGACTTTAGATTTGACATTTGACCTTCAATGACCTTCTCAATGTCAAAAAAGGTCAAAAAGGTATTTTTTCATCTTGCTTCAAATTGACTAACTTTTTTTTCAAAATCATCTACATGTTCTCAGAAATTCAAATATGACTTTAGATTTGACTTTAGATTTGACATTTGACCTTCTCAAGGTCAAAAAAGGTCAAAAAGGTCTTTTTTCAACTTGCTTCAAATTGACTAATTTTTTTTTTCAAAATCATCTACATGTTCTCAGAAATTCAAATCTGACTTTAGATTTGACATTTGACCTTTAATGACCTTCTCAAGGTCAAAAAAGGTCAAAAAGGTCTGTTTTCAACTTGCTTCAAATTGACCAAATTTTTTTTTCAAAATCATCTACATCTTTTCAGAAGTTCAAATTTGACTTTACAAGTTCTCAGAAATTCAAATCTGACTTATATTAAGTTTGAACTCATAATATTGTGAGCAACTAGGTGGTGACATTTTGTCATGTTAATGCCTTGTTTTATTTTATTTCAGCAAATGTACATGTCATATGTGAAGAATTGCAAGTTCACGTCCCCTACAATTCTACCGCTGATTAACTTCATGCAGCGCTCCCTGGTGGAGATGTTCAGCCTCAACTTCAAAGTGGCATATGAATATGCATTCGTCTACATCCGTCAACTGGCCATACACTTGAGAAATGCCATCATGGTGAAAAAGAAGGTAATTTCAATTCCTATAGTAATATTATATTATTTACATTTGTCATTGACAATATAAGTAATGGAAAAATAGGCTAGTAAATATTTTACTAAATGCCTCCCACCCTGTAGATAGTTTTTGGTTCAAAAAGTGGCTTGATATTGAAGATAAGAATATCCAGGTCATTTATTTCCTCAGAACAATTTTTTTTGAAGACAAGAGCACCCCCCCCCCCACTCAGATATTGTGGTCTGGTATTACTGAAATACTTGTTTGTCTGTAGGAGTCTATCCAAGCAGTGTATAATTGGCAGTTCATCCACAGTGTGGGCCTGTGGGTTAGACTATTAGGGGCCACCCACCCTAATGACACCCTACAACCCCTCATATTCCCTCTCACACAGACCATACTAGGAACTATCAAGTAAGTATATTTAAATGTTAAGCTACACTTCATTATTTTTAGGCTTATTTAGGATTGGAATTACAGTTATAGCCCATTTGGCTATTTTTATTAAATTTCCCTAGTTGTAAAATACTATGCTTTTTCAGTTTTTATAGCCAATAGACCTTGCCAATAGACGGTGGTAGTAGATCAAAGAAACTATGATATATTGGCTGAATTGATGATGTCATGTTTGATCTTATGTTTGTAGACTGGTCCCCACTGCCAGATATTACCCTCTGCGGTTCCACTGCATTAAGTACCTCAATCAGCTCTCAGAGAGGACAGGGGTCTTCATTCCAGTATTGCCTCATATACTAGAGGTAATACATTTGTATAGACCTAAAGATAATCTAAGGATGTTTCATCAATATTCCAAAAATAATAAATATGTGATTGCATTCAAACTAGATTAGGCTTGAAAAAGTTGTACTAAATGATTTACATCATCATAATGTTGTGGTTTTTACAAATGTGATTTGTCTCTCATATAGCCTATAGTTTTCATTTAAGTAGATAGATAAAAGAAACATGCACTGGCAAAATGAAGATAGCCCAAAATAGCCAGAAAATAATATAAGTGTAGCAAAAAATGACCAGATTCCCCTTTAAATTGTGATGCTTTTTAAACAATTTTCTATATTATATCTGCAGGTGTTTGAAATGACAAATTTCAACAAGCGCCATAGTAGCATCAGCATCAAACCATATAACTTTGCCTGTCTGCTGAAGCTATCTAAGTCACAGCTGAACCAGAAAGTGTTTGGAGATGGAGTCATTGACCAGTTGTATGAGTTGTTAATGGACCAACTTAACGTACATGCACACACTATAGGCTTCCCTGAGTATGCCTTTCCGGCAGCACTACAGGTTAGTCAGCAATTAGGACATTGATATAAGCTAACATACATGCACACACTATAGGCTTCCCTGAGTATGCCTTTCCAGCAGCACTGCAGGTAAGTCAACAATTAGGACATTGATATAAGCTAACATACATGCACACACTATAGGCTTCCCTGAGTATGCCTTTCCGGCAGCACTACAGCTTAGTCAACAATTAGGACATTGATATAAGCTAACATACATGCACACACTATAGGCTTCCCTGAGTATGCCTTTCCAGCAGCACTGCAGGTAAGTCAACAATTAGGACATTGATATAAGCTAACATACATGCACACACTATAGGCTTCCCTGAGTATGCCTTTCCGGCAGCACTACAGGTTAGTCAGCAATTAGGACATTGATATAAGCCAGGCATATGGAATGAGGGATCTTGTATATTGACAGAGCTTTACATACTCTGCAAACAAGTTCAAAAGTCGTTCTTCTAGGCCTATCTTCAATAGATTTGTTGGGAAAATTTTTGATTTCCTCTGAACACAGTTTTAATTTTGCCAACACTACAAGTGATGGCATGGTTATTGCTCTTTTTTGTGGATGGTGTTCGGCTGTTGGTGTTCAGCATTTAGTGGTTAGTGTTCGTCATTTGGTGTCTGTAACAAATGGCATGTAGTGGCATTTTGCATTTTAATGCCTTGTATACATTTTATGAATTACAAAAAAACGTTAAATTAATGACCCTGTCCTTAGCTTGTTTTACTTATTTCAGTTGAAAGAGTTTGTGAAGAAGTGCAAAGTGGCCAACTACACGAGGCAGATAAAACAGATCCTTGAAAAGATAAATGAAACTGTCAAAGTGATTACTGAGCGACGTAGAAAAGCTTCCATCAACATTAGAGACCTAAGAGCTATGGTATGTGTTAAGAAGATGTGTAAGAATTTGAGATTTGCAGCAAATCATATTAATTGAATAGGCCTACACGTAATTGAAAAGTTGTGTAATTTAAGTATTTATTTATGTATTTGTAAAGAATCAGATTCTTGTAATACTACAGCTTAAAAGTGGTTATGGCCTTAACATATTTTAGTGGTTTGGGTCTGGCATCCAACGCATGTAACATATTGTTATACTGTATATTGCTTGAGAAATAGTGGTCTTGAAACTCACATAGTGTTAGTATGAACATAAGTTCAGACAGTTGAATATTTGACATTGGCGCTGAATGAAATTGCTCCAGGAAAATTGTTTTATTTTGTCAAAGATTTTAATTATTATATATTCTCCTAAATTGCTCAATATCAAAATAAAGCACCTATTAATCCAATTTAAGATACATTTATTTATGTATTAACAGGATGACTGGTCAATCAAAAGCAAGATAGAGGGCACTCCAATAAGCAAATACTTCGCCACCTGGAGGAAGCTTAGAGACAGAGAGTTACAACATAACATTTCAGGCAAAGAGAGGGTAAGTTTTGTGTTTTGGACAAGAATATATTTCCAGCATTTTGATTGGTTTTCTTTATTGATATCTACGAGCTCAATACCAAAATAACAATGAAGAGTCAATTTTTGGTAACTAAAATCTTGAGGTATGCCTAGGAATGCTTTTCAGAAATTATATATATTTTTTATTTGTAATTGTCACATGATGATATAATCCCAGACCATCTTCAAATTAAAATTAATATTTCAACCAAAGTAAGCTCCTATATATCATTCATGGTAACATACGGGACTTGACCATACAATAGAGGAAATATAACCAAGAGGTATACTCACCTTCATTGGTTGGAAACAAAATACAAAACAACAATATATTTTTTCAGCTGGAAGATACTGAACTGCCAACTATTATACGAGACAGAGGACCTAAGAAGGCGGATGATGAAGACCGTAAGGAGTTTGCTGCCCTCTTTGATAGTGACAGTGAAGAGGAAGATGATGAAGAAAGGTAAATATGTAATAGGGACAAAACATGTACAGTGTATAAAAGTACAGTGTATAAAGTAATAATCATAACATGTTTTACGAGCATCATATAACATATTATCTACATACAAGGGTGTCCAAAAAAAACAGGACCGTAAGAAAGTTGAATAACTCGGTCAATTTTGCATATTTTGCCTTGAAATTTCAGAATTATTTAGTTCATTCAATGTGAATTTTGTTGTGAAAGTTTGATAATAATCAATTGAGTCAAAAACTACAGCTCCTTACAAAACATGCCTCAAATGTGCACCTCTCATCTCTATGCTCAATTCAATCCGGCGAACAAAGTTGTTGATGATCCTCCTACACACATGTCTTTCTGAATGGACAAGTTTGTTCAAAGAACAATTGCTACTGGAGCTTACATCCTCCTGATGAAGTGTTACAGCATCCATTGCATTCTGAACAATGCACTGCCTGGGTGGCAATGAGGAAACATTGAATCATCAGTCCCTTTTGGTTCGAAGGTTACTGGGGACGTGCTATCACCATGAACAAGGACCAGTAAGTTCTCACCAAGTTTGTTTTGGAGGTCACTAAGCACCAGAAGGGACATCTAAGGAGATAATTAAGCAGTGGTTTCAACAAGCCAATACCACCCCCACACTGCAAATGATATGCTGAAATGGTTTAGGCAATGCTTTGGTGGTCAGCTCATCAGTTGCAGAACGCAAACCATATGGGCACCTCATTTGCCTCATCTTAATCCCCCAAATTTTTATCTTTGAGGATTTCTCAAAGCCAATGAGTATACTGACAGGCCCCTAACAATCTTAAGAGGGCAATAACTACCCCAATATTTACCATCCACATTAATGTGTATAGGTCAGGGTCATTAACAACTTTGTTCACATGATTCGTTTGTGCATAGAGAGAAGTGCCCACTTTGAGCATGTTTTGTAAAGGACTGTAGTTTTTGACACAATGAACAGATTATCATCAAACTTTCAGAACAAAATTCACAATGAATGAACTAAATAATTCTAAAGTGGTTCAATTTCAAGGCAAAATATGCAAAATTGACCTAGTTATTCAACTTTCTTACGGTCCTGTTTTTTTTTGGACACCCTAATTAATAGAGGAATTGTTTTCGAAGAAAAGTTCATAGCCCACTTTCATGATGCAGAAACAGACATGGAATGGCGATTATACAAACTAGCGGGAGAAAGAAAATGTCTTTATCCTTCACTAAAATACATTCACTCAAATTTTGATTTTGATCTTGTCTACTAGCAGACTTGGTTGTGTACATTCTCTAAACCAACACACAGTATGTCAGTGCACACTGCACAAGAGAACACACTGCACAAGACAACATGCACAAGAGAACACACACAAACCCCCAAAGCAATCCATGCCTGCAACTTATTCAGAACAATTTTTACAGTCTGTATATAATCTGTACTATATTGTCTCTGAATGTATGCATATGTCTCATATGTTCCACCAGCATTTCTGTATGGCTGGCAATACACACCATGTACTGTCTTAAAAGGATGGGTACAGTTGTAGCCTTTGATGTACCCACGTGCATCATAAGCAAGGTTTGACCAAAAAGGTTGATTGTCTAATTCCCAATTGTTCATGAAGATAGTGTGGTAATCGTAAGTACTGACAAATGGTTGATAGTGTGATGCTTTACAAGTTGCCGCAAGGTTCAAACACACGTGACTGTTGAACACCATGAAGCTAGTGATAGATAATAGAATGCACATGATGATAAGACAGATTTTAAGTCCCCTTGATCTTTTTGTCGCTGCATCCACACCTAATCCACCAGTGATTGTCATGAATATACTGGCCAATAATCTAGTGGTGTTATAGAATCGAACACCCAGTGCTAAATTAAGCATATTCAGAATGAACATGAGTATTCCAGCAGTGCAGATAACGATGCTCAATTTATATGTGAAGTAATGACGCCAAATCAATTTTGAATCGTTGCAGTTTGAGTTAGAATCCTTTTGTTGGATTAAAGTTAAAGGTTGTGCTGTATTAGTTCCAGTTTGATGTACAAGTCCCATCTTTGGTTTCTCTGCATATGTTTGGGGCTTTAGCTCAGGGCTCTGTTGTAATAGGGCCATTGTGATTTTCTTCAACAGCGGTCAGTTCATTGATTCTTATATCACTGCATGTGTCTTTGCTCATGCATGGTTCAGCTATGTCCTTGAAAAGATACAATATTATATGAAAAGCAGCAATAGATATCTTGGATCAGAAATGTATGGGTATTATTTATTTGTCCATCTTTCATTATAGTGAATGATTTCTACATTACTGTGATTTATTGATGGTAACTCCTAAAGTCAATTCCCCAGAACATAGATGCAATGGAACAATTATACTATTTCTCACCAAATGTTGGCATTTGAGGTGAAATGAGTGAAAACCAGGCTTGACAGTCAAACGGTTAAGAACAAGAAAGGATATTTCACTTTTTCACTTTTCATGATTTTATAATATTGGGTCTATGACTCAACCTGACCTAGAGAACACACTTTTGAATAAAACTAGACCTTTCCAATAAACCTATCATATTTTGGTACATCCGAGAAGCTATGATATCATATCGGCTAGATTGATGATTTCAAAATTAGCAACAAGTTAAGCCTATTTTTGTTTGCTACCTTTTGACAATGACATCAACAATCTGACAAATATATCCAAACTTCTTCGATGCACCAAAAGGTGGAGCTTATTAGAAAGGTCTTTTAAAATCTCAAACCTGATAAAAAATGTTAAATTGAAGTTTTGTACTGTAAACTATCATTTGATTACTGTTTTAAGTTGGTAGATTGATAAAACCTGCCAAAATTAAATCTCCACCAATTTTTTAAAAATCCCTAATGATTTTGTCCAGTGACTTGCCACGATAAATACTGGAGCTTTCAAAAGTTCAATTTCAAATACACTGTCCTGGGCTAGAGTTCACTTTTTGTCTAATGTTCAGTATGTGTTTAGACAATGTACAAAATGATGCAAAGATAATATGACCTACCTTATATATCGTGGAATGATAAAACATGAACATATACCTGTTATCTCTATAGTTTTGTCAGTAAATAAGGTTGCTCAATAATTTTTAAATCTAATATACATATCAATGTAGCAGCCAAAATCCATCCATTAATCCCATGATATTAAGTAAATGCTTTCTTATAATTAAAGTTCCTGAAAGAATCAAGGCAATACATGAAATGCTTGTAAATGATTTGCAGCAATTTTACAACAGATAATCATTCAATACTTTTGAATTTTTTATTTACAATATGACTCGCTGCCAAATTATACTGATTCACATTTATCAAATAGGAAGGACATACTAACTTAAGTTGAACTAATAGGTTTAAAGTACATGTAGTTTACAAGAACATATTTATTATCTATAAAGATAAACATAGCCTCATGCCATTCAAATAGCAACTACATGTACTCTGTAATGTTTAACATATTTTACAAAAGGCATAGAATTATTTTTCCAATATTTTATACAGAGAATTTGCCTCAGCTGTCTTTGTCAGATTCTATTAGATCCTGGTAGATATCTGTTCTTATGGTTCCTGAAGATTATTCTGGATCTGGATTATAAAGGCAAAATCTTACTTTTGGGTATCAGTATAGACCAATGGCATTCTAGCCAGCATTTGGTGACCAGGGGTTCGATTTTTATTGTACCTAATAAAGGTACGATATTGTCGTCAGCTTGATGGGCGGGCGGTTGGCGGGTGGGCGGCGTCTCACTTTTCAGCTTGTCTACAGGTTTCCAGCCAAACCATTTGAGGGATTCATCTGAAATTTTCTGGAATGTTTCTACGTATCAAAGTTAAGAACTGATTAGTTTTTGGGCATTCTGGGTAAAGGATGTGTCTGGGTATATGCCCTTTTGGTCCCTCAGTCAAATGTATGTGAAATATGGTTTTTATTACTGTCCTAGTTATATTTGATAAGTATATTTACTTTTTCATGAGTTTTGATGCATAATTAGCCCCCTGCTGAGAGTCAGAATAAGTAGCCTAACAAACAAAAAATAGTCATTATCATAGAAAAAAACACCAATGGCAACATGTATGACATACAAAGAAGAAATAACTTAAGACCCATGAAGAATTAAAAAGAAAATCATATTTTTGAAATATATTTAAGGATTAAAATTTTTTTCAAATTTTTGAATTTCCCGCCAGTTTAATTTGAAGGGGGAAAAACAAGATGGCTGCCATTTGATGTAAGAAATATCAGAAAAAAGTTGCTTCACTTTTAGTTTTCACGGTGAGCACAGTTTTCCGGTTTGGGTTTTTTGACTGAATCTGACTCTTCATCACCAGGGTCATGTATAGGGATTATAAAATTGAAACCAAAATGTTGTGCTCAGCATGAATTTGACTGAAATATGAGTAACTTCACCAACACAATTGAAGTCTCAAAACTGGATGCTCAGTAACTTTGAGTGACTATAATCCCTTGATTACCGAGATAAACACAAAATCACTTATCCAGAAATACCATTCAATGTCTATACAAAGAAAATAAGCAATGTTTTGGAGGATATGTTTCAAACTTTTTGTATAAATAATTCATTTAATATTTGCCATTGATTTTTTTTCAATTCTGACAAAGTGATATGCACTGTCTTTGATGCCAATATTCTTCATCAATTGTTATACGAATTGATATTTTAGTAATCTCAGAAGAAGGATAAGATATTGAAGTTTAATAATATGTGTGATTGAGTTGGTTTTTCAGACATTACAATTTTCAATATTTTCTAAGTCGATACCCAGACTCATTCCCAGACTCATCCTTTTAAGGTGGCCATTTTGGATTTTCCGTCCTAAAATCTTCACTTTCAAGACTTGTCTACAGGTTTCCAGCCAAACCATTTGACGGATTCATCTGAAATTTTCAGGAATGTTTCTACATATCAAAGTTAAGAACTGATTAGTTTTTGGGCATTCTGGGTAAATTTTTAGGTGGCCATTTTGGATTTTCCGTCCTAAAATCTTCACTTTCAAGACTTGTCTACAGGTTTCCAGCCAAATCATTTGACGGATTCATCTGAAATTTTCAGGGATGTTTCTACGTATCAAAGTTAAGAACTGATTAGTTTTTTGGCATTCTGGGTAAAATTTTAAGGTGGCCATTTTGGATTTTCCGTCCTAAAATCTTCACTTTCAAGACTTGTCTACAGGTTTCCAGCCAAATCATTTGACGGATTCATTTGAAATTTACAGGGATGTTTCTACATATCAAAGTTAACAACTGATTAGTTTTTGGGCATTCTGGGTTAATTTTAAGGTGGCCATTTTGGATTTTCCGTCCTAAAATCTTCACTTTCAAGACTTGTCTACAGGTTTCCAGCCAAACCATTTGATGGATTCATCTGAAATTTTCAGGGATGTTTCTACGTATCAAAGTTAAGAACTGATTAGTTTTTGGGCATTCTGGGTAAATTTTAAGGTGGCCATTTTGGATTTTCCGTCCTAAATTCTTCACTGTCACACTGCTGTGTTTTAGGTACGATATTGTTCATGTCTGTGCCTTGTTTATGTTATCCACAAATTTCCCCCTTCATATAAATATTTGAAAGAAAATGTGTTTTCATCTGTATAAGACAGTTGGTTTATTTCACCGGAGATGGAGCAGCTTTTAAGGTGAAAAATAAATTGACAATGTGCAAAATTATTGATATTTCTTCTTTGCATAATGTCATGATGCTCCGAGGTCTTCGCAAAATTAGACAATTCAACTCTTGCCTATGGTTGCCAAACTTTTGGAGAGAAGTGTAACTTTATCATTTTTATCGTACCTAACAAGAGGTACAATATTGTAGTCAGCTTGACGGGCGGCGGGCGGGCGGGCGGGCGGCGTCTCACTTTTCAGCTTGTCTACAGGTTTCCAGCCAAACCATTTGAGGGATTCATCTGAAATTTTCAGGGATTTTTCTACATATCAACTTCAAGAACTGATTAGTTTTTGGGCATTCTGGGTAAATTTTAAGGTGGCCATTTTGGATTTTCTGTCCTAAAATCTTTACTTTCAAGACTTGTCTACAGGTTTCCAGCCAAACCTTTTGAGGGATTCATCTGAAATTTTCAGGGATGTTTCTACATATCAACGTCAAATTAAGAACTGATTAGTTTTTGGGCATTCTGGTTAAATTTTAAGGTGACCATTTTGGATTTTCAATTTCAAGACTTGTCTACAGATTTTCAGCCAAACCATTTGAGGGATTCATCTGAAATTTTCAGGGATGTTTCTACATATCAACGTCAAGAACTGATTGGTTTTTGGGCATTCTGGGTAAATTTTAAGGTGGCCATTTTGGATTTTCCGTCCTAAAATCTTCACTTTCAAGACTTGTCTACAGGTTTCCAGCCAAACCATTTGAGGGATTCATCTGAAATTTTCAGGGATGTTTCTACATATCAATGTCAAGAACTGATTAGTTTTTGGCCATTGTGAGTAAATTTTAAGGTGGCCATTTTGGATTTTCCGTCCTAAAATCTTCACTTTCAAGACTTGTCTACAGATTTTCAGCCAACCCATTTGAGGGATTCATCTGAAATTTTCAGGGATGTTTCTACATATCAACGTCAAGACTTGTCTACAGGTTTCCAGCCAAACCATTTGAGGGATTCATCTGAAATTTTCAGGGATGTTTCTACGTATCAATGTCAAGAACTGATTAGTTTTTTTTGGGCATTCTGGGTAAATGTTAAGGCTGCCCTTTTAGATTTTCCGTCCTAAAATCTTGTCTATCGAGGCTTGTCTACAGGTTTCCAGCCAAACTGTTCAAATTTTTACATATGTTACACAGTGATAAGTTCTAGAGCTGATTAACTTTTTTGCGGCCATCCAATGCTTTCTTGGTCAACAAGACCACAATGCTGTGTTTTAGGTACGATATTGTTCACGTCTGTGCCTTGTTTATTTATCTACTGGTCATATTAATTGAATATATGTTTCTGGTTATTGCAATGAATTTTTCCACAAATATTTTTGAGAGGAAATCCCGACCGGGGGTTCGTTCGAAACCAGCGAACCTCCCGTTCCTATGGCTATGTAGGCAAAAATAAGTTCTTGTGTTAAGAAATAGGTAAAAATGTTTCTGGTTTTGATTGGAGAAAACCATGTTCCACTTTCTTTTTAGGAAAAGACATTCTAAGGAGACTGAAACTTTGGATTAGCATCATCCCCCCTCATACCCCATAGCTTTTTACAAGTGGCTCAACCTCTAAAATACCTCACAATTGATAAAAAAAAATCTGTTAATATCAAAACTGCCAAAATTCTTTAGTGACTATGTTTTTTACATTTTTGGCAAAAAGGTTTGTTTAATCAATCAGTCTATATTTGAGGTTTTATCAAAATTATTATTACTTTAATAAAATGATCCTCTATTCAAACCAAATAAATGTTTTAAATGTTCTTCTTTGTAATTTTAGATTCCTTATGAAACATGAGAGGGCAAAGAAGAAGAAACATGACTCTGATGATGATTACAGGTTAGGAAATTTGGCTGTAAATAGTCACAAATTATTTGCGATAACCTACATGGCTTTTTTGCATGAATTAAAGGTGCTTTGTCAGGTAACATGACAGAGAATGTTCATCAAAACTGTAAAGAAAAGAGCTGATCTGATTGGACGCTAAAAATATAAATCACCTGTCTATATTTATTTTAAACATTTAAAAATGAGCTCTTTGAAACCTTGGTGACCAGAACAAAATAATTTTTCTTCATTATCAAGTGGAAATTGTGAAATTTAATATCATCCATTTTGAATAATAATCCATCTTGAAATCCTTGTTTTGTAAAAATTCAAATGTATGATAGATCTGAAAAAGTAATATTGTGAGGAAAGCATTACATGTATTTTCTTAATTGTATCGTATACATTTGATTTTTTCCAGTGATTTTGATGAAGATGACCTGGAGAAACTGGCAGGGTCTGGGGATGATGATAGCGATTTAGAAAATGAGGATTCAGAAGATGAAGCTTCAGAAAATGAGGATTCAGATATCGAGGACTCTGAAGATGAGGATTCAGAAATGGAGGATGAGACCAATTCTAAAACTATACAGAAAGGGAATAAAAAACAATCTACTCAATCCAGCAATTATAAAAATCAGAAAAATAAACACAAAAAAGAAATGGACTCACAGAAAACCAATCAGACAAAGAAGAGAAAACAACAGGGAAAAGTTGGTAAAAATACAAAGAAACAAAAGACAGATTTGAATAAATATGAAAATGCTGGAGGTGACGATATTGTAAAGGACTTTGCTTGGTCAGATAGTGATTAAAGTGGACTATGAAGTACAATAGTCTGGATTAAATTTTACATAGAATACTACATAGATTATATGTAATGAAGCAATATTATGAATATAATATGAAATCTTGACTTTTAATACCAAATACTGTTTTTAATTTTTCCACTATTTTTTTTTATTTAATTTTGAATTTCCAATATATCAAAGTATAAGTGCAACAGACATTTTTAATCTTGCACTATTTCTCAGCAGTTAAATTTTATCAAATTCCACACAACATTTTCAAGCTATAAGTTCACAGAAAACTACAAATTGTTGGTGTTGATATCAGAATACTGTGGATTCTACATTTGACAGCCATTTTAATTGGGCTAATTTGTCAGATTGATAAAAACCGCCAAATTAAGTCTCTGTCAATTTAAAAAAAAATTCCAATGGTCTTTTCATTGAGATTTCATTCAATATTTTGACTGTAATCCTAGTTTTACATTTTAGCTCATAAAGGTAAAACCTCCCTGTGTAGCCCAAGAGTAACCTGGCCACATGACTTCCTAGCTAGCCCTCCAATATCCATATTTTTCTGATGGGTCTATCTGCTAAAATAAATAGCAACCAACATTTCAAAATTTGCCCAATCTGCCAAATTAAAAAAAAATAGCACTGAATTACCCAAATGCGAGTAGGTAGTTTCCAGTTTCACCACCAGGTGGCTGATTCGGGTCAATTAACATGGCAGGTATATAAGAAAGTTCCCTTAAACTTGAATATTATCAATTTAAGTGGCTCAATTTTCATATAACCCTTATGTGTCTGATACTTATACTAATGAAAATATGTCCAGTAAAGCAAAATATTATCTGTCCACTAAAAGAAAAGATATTTCATTTTTTGTGATTTTATAGCATGGGGTCTATGGCGAATCTCCCCGAGCTAGAAGTCACATTTTCAAAGGAAATAAAATTTTTGATGACGTAAATCAAGATTATTTCTACTCGCATCTGGGTTATTAAAGCAATTTACAGTATTTCTTTGTGTACTAGCCTCTGTCCACATAGAAATTTGTATTTCTGCAATCGCAATTCGATTCTGCAAAATTGGGTGTCATTCGCAAAATTCCCAATCTGGTGCAAAAAACGCAAACAAGCAAGGTATTTGACGTTTTTTACTGGAGCTGACACATAGAATCACAAAAACAAAGTATTTCATTTCCTTATTAAACAGTCTTTTTGTAAATTTTCACAAATATCAAGTTTTTGATGCAAAATCAATCACTTTTAAATCGCAAATGCAAAATTCTCATAAAATCATTAGTTTTTAAATTACAAAATCCACAATCTTATTTGCTAAATTTTGAAGAAGAAATGCTAATTTCTGAGGGGTAACTAGCGTAGTTATGAATCAAACATGAAAAGGCATCTAAAATACAGAGTGATCCAAACAAAGGTAATCCAAACAATGTATGTTACTATAATAATTCAGTCATTCATTATGGGTTAAAGTCATATTTGGCACAATGAAACCTTGTTCAATGTTCTTTCATTCTACCAAGTTTCATCGGTCAATCCCCAATGGTCATTTCATGACCACACGTGAAATAAGGAAAAAGGAAAAATCGAATATTCGACGTTCCAACATTTTTGCTTTTTTCAGGTTTGACGCACAGAAAAAATTGATTCAGACTTATATTAATTGACTGTGTGCTAAAAAGATTCAAGGAAACATATCAACGTTTATATTTGCATTCAATCTATACAGCATGTCTTTTAAAACTCTTCAAACCTTGTTTTTAGGCTATGTGTGGAAAATATTGACTGGTTACTAAAAGTGGTCAATAGTCATTTTTTCACGTAAACTTTGGAATAGTGAGCACCTAAAGTCAATCATGACAAACAATACTGATTTCATTATATATATTTTATTTTCTCATTTAATCGACATCGATTGATCATTTATTATTATTTACAAGATTTGGGAGAGAATATCATCTGACACGTAGACAGGGAGCACACTTTCTAAAAACTTATATCCTAATTCATATAGAGGTTGACAAATTACATGCAACATGTATGATTTCCAACCAATATGACCTTTATTACTCAAAATATAATATCTGTAGATAGGTTAATCATATCTTTTGGTGTTATTTAAGCTGCAAAAATCTGGAAATTGTGATGAATTAAAAAGATGATCACATTGCGCTCGGTCCAAGATTAAACTTGATCAGTCAGTTCCACCTGGTGTGTGTGTGCCAGGATCACAATATCATTGCTTCAACTTCTACAATTTGAAAGTCCACTTTTATCCTATGGTGGCAGTATTGACATCACTCCATCCCCTCTTCCCCTTTGGCCTGAAAATACATGTTTACATTGTCAATTCATTTACAGGTTTTACCAGCTTATGCTACAACTCTTAATTCAACACTCTCAGGCTAAAGTTGAGCTTGATTCAAAAATTGAGCTTGATTCCAGCTTGAATAAATACAATTGTTCGCCACCATGTGGAAGGTGCCTTATTCACATTTGATGTGTAGTGTGTATGTATGCCAAGAGAAACCCTTGACTGAATGACTGACACTCCCAAGTACCATGGAATGCCGACAAATAGGGTAATCATTTTATATGTTTACATATGTAATCTCAATAGAATGGACAAGTCCATTTGCTTCAATGTTTTCTTACAAAATGAAGACTGAAGAATAAAGAAGATGGACGTGTTATACAATTTATTTTTTATTCTTATTATTTAATTTTTTTTTTAAAAACTGAATCAACAATTGAAAAGAGCAAACTTCTTATTTATACTAAAGAATGTTAACATTTTTTTGTTAAAAACAAAAGGACTAAAAGAAATCGTTTAAAATTCATAATAATTAACAAAAACATACTGAAAACTCCAAACAATTTCATTAGTTCTTGACTAAGCATACAATACCTGTTGATCATCTAGATAAAATACATCATAAATTGGTTATAAACACAAAAAATCCACTCAAAGGGGCTACAGTCTGTTAAACTGCTTCAAAGGCAAGCAGTTTGACCTAAAAAATAAGAAAGCTAAAGACTATTGTGCAATAATGTATAGAAAAATATATTATTACCACCTTGCCGGGCCAGTTCTAGGGGTTTTAGTGCTAGTTTAGAAGGCATTCATATCGACCTGACCAATATGTGACGTCATAGTGGCGGTCCATATTGCCTGTCAAAAATGCAATTAATGACCGGCAATTTTCCCCTGGAAATTAGATATCGTTCAGTGCGTAAGATGTTATTGCTGTTTCAGTCCTGGTCATTAACGGTCACTATATTGCCCTTTGAAATGACATTATTGTCCTATTCATATTGCACACAAATGACATTTGTTTATTTCAGATTATATTTCAGAATATATTTTTCGATATATAATGGCACAATAGTCTTTAGATTTCTTATTTTTCAGGTTCAACTGCTTGCCTTTGAAGCAGATTAATAGACTGTAAAAGCTATGTAAAAGGCAGTAGTCTCTAATCAACCAATCTGACAATTTCATATGAAACAAGAATACATATCATAATAGATATAATATTATATTATCATTATTCTTTAAAGCTTCTACTGTGACTTACAAAATAAGATCTCTGCCCTCTGGGAGTGGGGCAAAGTATTTATCAACCATCTCATCTGTTACTTCCTGAATCGTGGCTGGTGTCCATTTTGGAGTCTGGTCCTTGTCTATGAGGACTGTAAAGGAAACAACAATGTTATCATGAATGAAATAGATCGAACATGAGGAGTATGAAAGAACCTGTAAGAGACAGGAGTTATCATGGTATACCCTGATGATATGTACATATTACATACTACTGATGGATTTCTATATGGCAAATCTAGTAACTCCTGATAATTTAAAAGATTAGTTACCAGACACTAAGCAAAGAATCAAATTCTCATAACCTCTCATAAATTCTCAACCTACAGGAAATACTGGAAGATCTTTACAATGTTTTAGTTTCACAATTCCCATGGCCTATATGAAATACTGGAAGATCTTTACAATGTTTTAGCTTCACAATTCCCATGGCCTATATGAAATACTGGAAGATCTTTACAATGTTTTAGCTTCACAATTCCCATGGCCTATATGAAATACTGGAAGATCTTTACAATCTTTTAGCTTCACAATTCCCATGGCCTATATGAAATACTGGAAGATCTTTACAATCTTTTAGCTTTACATGTATCATAGCTACATATGGAAAAAGTATACTGCCTTAGATTAGGATATTTTTGTAAGATCTACCTGCTCGAACTCCTTCATAAAAGTCTTTCTGTGCAATACACTGTTGGCTTATCCTGTATTCCATTTGCAAGACATCCTGTAGCATCATTGATGCCCCTTCTTGGATCTGACGTAGAGTCACCTTCATAGATACTGGAGACTAAAAGGAAATGCAGTTCTACATTTTGTGTTTCATTGCAATGGAATGTATTCTTGCTAATATCATTCCACCAAATAATAACTTATCAATGAAAATTTCTCATCTTAATAATTGTAAAATATTGTGTTGTTGTTGGGGATACAACTGCATGTTTGAATCCTCTATCTACAAAGAAAATTGATGGCTTAATAAAACGGCTGTGGCAAAATAATAAAATACACATAAGGACACTTTATGGATCACCCTATACATGTAGTTTAAAGTACACAGGGACATTATGTAAACTATATTTGTTTACACTAGACTAAATAATATTTACCATCCGTTTTAGAGTCTGTAATGTTTTGCTGGCCCACTCCGTGTCAGCTCTTTCCAGATTCAGGAAGATCTCTTCTAAAGTTTGACCACTAAACAACTGGTTGATTTCCTCCTGATGTGGCTTCAGTATAAAGTCTTGAGATTTGTCAATGGAACTCTGTGAGAACAAGGATTACCAGTACTTAAACATTTCATTGACAATGTGTAAATAAATCATAGGTGAGAAGAAATCTACAGACATGTGGTGTTTTGGCAAAAGAACTAGCTAATGGCAATGAAGAGGCATAACAAATTCAAAATGCCACCCATGGTTAGAAGTGATGGGACAAGGTTGTGCATGTGCCACAATTAAAGCCATGCTTAAGTTCCGGCACTGACTAAATCCCATGTTCTCCCATGTTATCGCTTTAACTATACATGACTTCCTAAAACTTGTCCTAATTTGTTTATATTTTTCATGCAAGGTAGTGTTAAACAACTTTTGGTTTAGGCGAGTATATACCTTATCATGGTATGAATTGAGTACATTAACTATGCTTTGCTCTTTGGCTATCTTAAGATTGAGTAGTTCATTCTCCAAGTCTACTAGCTTGTCAGAGTCCACTACATGTGTTGCAATGCCAGCCTTGTAGACATCTACTCCTTTTAGTCTAAACCCAGTTAAAGCTAGATAACGACCTAGGTACCCTCCTAACCGGGGTAGAAAATGACCACCTCCAACATCAGGAAATAAACCTATAGTGAAATTAACATTTTTAAAATGTTAATTTTGAATCATTCAATCAAATTAAAGATTAAGAATGTTGTCTTATTGATTTACAAGACCAGAAATGATTAATTAAACTCTAATATTAAACATCTGACCAAGACATTTTGCATAAATTGGTAACTTACCTATTCCTGTTTCTGGCATTGCAAAGATTGTTTTCTCAGTAGCCACCCTGTATTTACCATGTACAGACAACCCAACTCCCTAAGTAGAAAATTCAAAACTTAAAGAATTGACATAATTATGTATATAACAAGTTATATAAATACAGTAAAACCTGTCCGATGGAATACCTCTCTGTAGGGAAAACCTATGAACAAGGAATGCTTTTCAAAAGAACCGAATATTTTTCCATTGACTTACATGTTAGCGGACCCTCTCTGTAGGGAAAACCTGTGAATAGGGAATAAGGAACACTATTTTGGGGCAAATTGTGAAAATTCACCTGTGAACAAGGAAAATTGAATATTGGTGAAACTGTATATTCCATTATTTTTCAGAGGTGTGAAAGTCTTAAGCCAATATCTGATTCTAAAAAGCTTGGATTAATATGAATGAGATTAAGATAAGCCAATTGTTGACATGATGTAGCATCCCACCCACTGTTAATTACCCTGATTTATTTTAAAACTACTTCTAAGCTGTTTGTTACTTATTATCATGACACCAATTCTTCCTTTCAAAAACGTAATTACATCAAATCAGGTGTGATAATCTAGGGACTGACACAATTGTTTTATGGAGATAACAGATAGTAAGTACATGGTCATGTTGAGCCAAATCTCTTTAAATCTTTTACTGATCCAACTTCTAGATTATCAATGATATAAAATAGGGTTGATGAAACTTGAAATTCAGTTCTTAACAATATATCTCTACACATCATATCAATGATACATCAACTAGACATCATCAGACACTAGAAACAGCTAAAATCAACATGGGGAGAACGTAACCAAGTATGGAGTTGGCATTTGTATAATCAATCAATATATATACAAATATGCTTATTCGGCAATTTTGAGTTTGCTGAAAGTGCAGCCCCTCTCTATAGGGAAAACCTCTGAACAAGGAAATTTTCCCCCAGTCCCAAGAGCATTCCCTGTTCGCAGGTTTTACTGTACATGTATACACATATATATAAAAGTTCATGTATGTGTTTTCTTAGACCTTGAGTAACTGGTAAATAATTATATCAAGTTTCAACTCACCCCTCCCATAGTGATTCCATCAATCAGAGCTATATAGGGGATATCTGTTGTACCTGAAATACAAACCAAAGCCATATCTGCTTACAAATTAAAGAAAAAAATGAAAAAATGTAATTGATTAAGTTGGTCACTTTAAAGGGATCTGATCATGGTATTTCCCAGGTTTTCCAAAATTGCAGAAAGTTCAATCTTAACTCGAAATAAATCCAGTGAAGAAATTTTAATTTCTTTCTATTTTCAGTTTGATAGATATATAAAAAAATCTGTTTAGTAAACAAAATAAATAAATACTGGTTCATTTAAACAAACAATATATAACACTTTATTACCTATAAAATTATTTAGAATGTACTCCTCTTTGAAGAAATCTTTTGCTAATTGCCCATCAACTTTACCAGCTTCTGTTACAGCTGAAAAAGTGATAATATTCTCTTAATAACACAAAACAAATAGTTAGCCCAGTAAAATGAGAACCTATAAAAAAAGTTTCTGTTGAGGTGAATAAATAATAATAGAAAAACTATGAAAATCAAAATTTCCAGAGAACAAATCCACAAAACAGAACTATAAAACCCCGACATTTGATCTCGGAATCAAAATCTTTTGACTCGGACTTCAGCAAACATGAAGTTTGGGCAAAATAGGTTCAATTCTTATGCCTGGCATGAGTAGATCTGTTCTTATGCTGGGAATAAGAATTGATCCTATTTTGCCCAAACCTAATGTTTGCTGAAGTCAAAGTAGGATTCCGAGATCAAATATTGGGGTGTTTATAGCTCTACTTTTATAAAACTAAATTAACCTTTTTTTGTCATTGTCATTTTCAAATAAATTTTTGGTTTACATAGGTCTACTTTCTAAGGTAATACTTCTTCAGGTGGGCTAGATGTGGACCTAGAGGGACTACTTTTTTTATAAGTGAATTGTGAACCCTATATCAGAATGCAAGCATACATGTATAGATCAAGTCAGGTTACACAGTTGTAACTGGACACATCCCTACACCTTTACTCACCAACAATATCTCCACCAGCACAGAAAGCCTTTCCTCCATTTGCTTTTATGATGATCATTCTGAATGAGGCCTCGTCTTCCCAAGCCTGTTTACATGTAGGTAGCAAAGCAGGTTTCAGTTCAAAATTAATGGTATTGGGTTTTTAGTAATAGAAAATTGATTATACTGTATATACTACATATATACAGTACTATACTTATTCTGTATACATTATAAGTATAGTATTTTATTTTTACTATAAAAAGTTTTAAAATACATCATAAGACTAAAAGAGCACCTTGTAAATAAAAACTTCATGATATTTTTAATCTTGGCTTTTTGAATGATGAATTCTCACAACTTGACAGTATCAACAATGCACTATATACAAATGTTTTGTAGCCAATTTATAAGTCAAGAAATTATAAGTCAAATGAACTTCAGGCCTTTATAATGTCAGTTATCTATTTCAGAATTCCTTCACTGCTTAGCTCACTGACCTTTAGCACTGGGTACATTTTTCTGATCATGCTCAGATTTAATGCGTTGAGGGCTTTTGGTCTATTCAGTGTAATGACTCCCTTGTTGCCATGTCTCTCCAGTATGACCTCATCATCTGGTGATGTAGACATTGCACAGGTAGACACCCTCTACAATATAATGAAGATTTATGTGAAACACGGAGAAAGAAATGAAAGAAACCAGCAATATACATAAGAGAAACCACTCTATGTTAAACAATGTGCATGTGGACATTCATGTTTTGAAGGATTTGTATGTACTTTATTCTTCTATTTCAGTTGCACTTCAGTTGCATTTCATTTTAGTTGCACTTAGAAAGAAGAAAAGAATTAATTCGCAGGATGCACCCAGCCATATTAATGTTTCAGACCCCAGCTATAATGTCAGTGGTGCTACTGAGATAACAAATAAACACAAGGAGCTCACACTTCTTGAACTCACCACCTCATAGTTACGACACAGCCCCTAGCTTGGCTTGTTCAGCACTCTATACCGCTAGGCCAACTAGGAAAACCCTAAAAAGGTTGTTTCATCAGCTAATCTGACCAGAGAGAATAGTTATTAACACTCAAACACACCAGAGGTATCAGTCACACACAGAATTAGCTAAACTGTCCTATACAATATACACTGGTTGTGTTGATTGAGCATGTGGTAGGTATAGACTAATATGCGATTGACTAAAACATGGTCATTTACATAAAAAAAATTCGTTGGCCCATCGATTAATACCAAGTTCTCCCAAGCTTAAAACCATGTTCTTGCGTGTTGTCTGGACAATAACGTTTTATATTAATATCAAGTAACAACCCTCACAATAACATGATACAAGTCAAATATATATAAGTTTAAAAGTAAAATCCACGTTATTTATTCAAGAACTTGCTTCTTGTTTCATATCAAGTCATGGGGTCTTGGCTTCCAGGAATGGAGTCATTGATGTCACATAAATACATTTTATGATTATTGATCAGATCTGTACCTGAAATGAGGGCTCTTCAACACAGAAGATAAGAATATTGATGTCATTCTGAACTAACCCATAAAAATCTATTGAAAGATCAACTATGTGTACATGGAAGACATTGAAAGTCAAGGTGATACAAAAATTCAACCCATGATAAAAAAAGGTATAATGTTTGAAAAAAAACTAAGGCTAGGCTAATTGATATTTGGAAAAAGTAAACCTCAGTATTTACATGTACATGTGTCAAAATGCTTACAATGTTATTCTGATTTCAAAGGATCGACTATAGATACAATCAAAGTGCTTCAAATACATGAAGTATGTGTTTGTATTACTTTCCATCTGGGGGTCTCATAATCTCTCATTAGAGCATATTTCAAATATGTGTATGAAAGCAAACCACTCTATGGCAAAAATAGTTATTTATAAATGGGTTTAGTAAATAAATCATTATTTCCCCAAGCCTTCACACTAGCTCTAGGTGATCTACCTGTCTCGACATAGAAAATCAATTAACATTTATAAAACCATTAAGCATCAAGTAACTATGCTTTTTGAGTAGTATGCAGTATGTACCAGAAGTTGCTTCCTAATATAATATACTGAATAAATAAAATTGAAATCTAAAATAATAATTCTATATTTCATAATCTGTGCATAACATAAATGGAATAGTTCAAACTATTGTTCGAAACTATATTAACGAATGTAATATCTTTTCTTACACTGATACAAAATATGTAAAAATATCCATTAATTTGTTCATGATTTTATACTTATCATGTTTAGATAGCAAATTAATATTATCACTAATATACAATACACATTACAGAATCAACAAAACAAAGCAAAAATATATTTGCTTGACTCATGGTGTGAAAGGTCATATGTAGCAATGTTTACAATCAAAAATAGGAATTACTTCAAAAACTTCTAAAAATTTTGTTTGTAAACATTGCTACCTACAGCCTATGACACGAAAATGGCCAATATATCCTAGCTTCTTGGGTGCAGTAAAATGACAGTGTTATTGGAAAGGTCTATTGTTTGTTATGTACACGTACACAAGTTATTTACAAATGAATACTGTATTGTGTTTCACAATTGCTTAATGTCTTCAGCATACTTTTTCGATCATTGTTGTATCAACATACTGTCTTTGATGACTGGATTAGACTCTTATGAGGCATACTTCATATGGTTGTGGTATGAATGTTGAACTTCCTTTCAAAAATCTAAGGGGTGGTAATGGTGCCTTTTCTGACTTGACTAATCTGTACTTCTGTAGGATTGCAGTTGCAAATATGAAAAGCTCCATTCTTGCAAGTCCCTCTCCAAGGCAAGCACGCTTCCCTGAAATCAAATGTATTCATCAATTAATCAGAAGATATTTATGTGAAGGGTTGTTCTGGTTTCATTTTATTGTATTTGTACAATATATAATATACAATGTATATTATTCTATTGCTTGACTATATAATGCTAATAGATCCTTTATAATATTTTATTTTACAGATTTGGCCCTTTATTCAGACATTATCTTTACATCTTTGACCATGAGTACAACCATATGCCATAATTCAACAACATTGACAACTTGGATATTACCTGTTGAAAATGTCAACATTCTTTCATCTGCACAGTATTTTCCATCTTTATCCAGGAATCGCTCAGGAATGAATTTGTCTGGTTCTTTCCAATATTCAGGATCATGATGGATAGCATGAATATTTGCATAAATACGTGTATAGGGAGGAAGTACATAACCCTGGAAAGACAACATGGGGTTTACTTTTTAAACTGACTCATTTCATTGCAAATAGCAATATTATGTACTCAACATTATGGTAACATAACTTGTTTCAAAGTTTATCAGCGCTTCTCAATGATAGATGGCACCTCTCATATAGATGGTAGGTCATAAGGTAGGTCATTAAGCACTATTTTCTAATGTATGGATATATTTTTTATCAACGTTTATTTAGTTAGGTGGCTATGACATGATATCAAGTGCAGTTAGATTAGATACACTCATCACTATTTCACAATAAATCAAAGGTATATATATGATGATGGCAATAGTCCAACTGAAATACATTAACATCATTAAATTGTGACTTACAACTGGAAGTACATACAACATTTATTTACATCCCAATATACTGCACTTTGGATTAACATACATAGATTATACACATCTATTACCTCAAATTCAGTTGGTTTGTCAAAAGTGCAATTCCCTATACTCAGAGGTAGAATTACTTGCTTCCGTTGCACCTCTGTAAACACTGCCTCTGTAAAGGGTAGATCTGTCTTATCCCGCATAGAAGGCAGTCTGTCATGACCTATAACATTATGTATCTCAGCTCGAACTTTTTCTTGGATTTCGGGAAAGTGCATCATGTATAGAATGATCCATCTGAAAAGAATAACATTATTTTAAAGGTTAATTTTTCAAACATTAATGACTACATGCTCTCTCTATCTAATGTAGCATTTGAGATAGGCCAAGGATTATTGCACTCAATGTCAATGATAAGCAATAGGACGAAATAGAGATTGTAAATGTCAAAAACAATCTTTTAAAGTATTACAGTCTACAAGGTACACACAATTTGAACATTGAGCCTTTTAAATTGCCAGTTATCTAAACTTATTTAGTAATATTGATTAAAGTAAATATAAGAGGATAATAATTATAGTGCACTCCATAAACTATAGTAATTCTAAATCTGAAATACATGCACCCAAAATTACACCCAAAAAGGATCTGTTAAAATTGCATCATCAGTACATTGATAGACTTTATTTTCTGTAAATATCATTGAAAAGGTCCTTGCCTATTAGTAAAGCAATTTATGCAAGCTTTGAAATGTTAAAAGTCCATGACAATGTATGTTGGAGGATGCTATGATTTCATTTTTTTATGAATTTATTTAGAGAGAGTGCTTTTTCAGAGTGGTAAATGTCTTACTTCAATGATGTCGTTGTTGTTTCTGTACCAACTTGAAAAAGATCTTCAATGTTCATATTCAGTTGCTTCTCTGAAAAAGGAAATGTCACAATAATTCATATTAAGGAACAATTTAATGGTATAATATAATATAATATTTTAATGGTATCAAGTTTTTATAGCCTTCTATTTTTAGCTCATTTAATATGTCAGAGGTTATGTATAATATGACACTTGGGATGGGTTTCTGGATATCATATTAATTTTGTTCTCTTGTGTAAGAGAGTATAAACTTTATTTTTTGGTGATACTCGTAATGAGTTGAAATCTTATCGATCAAAAATGTCATATATGTTCAGGATCATGTATTCATTATAGGGTGTGAAATTATTTTATTGTATTCAAGTCTATTTACACCTGAAAAACAGATCTTATATAGCAAGAACATGTTGTAATCTCACCTGTAAACCAATGCTCTTCTGTTTGCTCCTTGCCTTCTCTTGCCTTCACTTCTTTGTAAAATGCATCAATATAGTCCTCGATGATGTTGGGATCATATTTTGCCTTATGGCTTTCATATTCAGTTTTGATAACTGTTGTTCTCATTTCATTCATCACCTCAACAGTGCGTCTGAACTTAAAAATGTCTCCTGGTAGTATTTTATCAAGGTATTTTAACCCAGGAGTCATGGATCCAATTGAAACTGGAAATAAATTCTTATTGAAATTCTCTTCCATTAACTCTAACATATGCACAAATGTGGGGTCATCATAATCAAAACGGTGTCCAAATATCAACGAACAAATGATATTTGAGACAACATTGTTAATCACAATAGATATGTCTTTTGGTTTACCCTTGTAACTGTCAAAAACTTCAAACAAATGTTCTGCTTCAGCATGAATGATTTTTTCTAATTTGTTTTTCCCAAGACCAAAATCTCTAAGTGTACTCAATGAAAACCTGCGTTGTTCCTTCCATCTTGGACCATCACTTCCAACTAGCCCTCCAAGAAATATCTTCCAAAAAGGTACATTACCACGGCCAGAGAATTCATCCATGGCAAACATTTTCTTAACATCATCATAGTCATGCAACATCATTGCATAATATGGTCCAAGATAAAGTCCAATAGTTTTGGATTTATATTGCTTTGCTAAATCCCATATTCGCTCATGAGGGCCTACCTCTCCAAATGGTGAAAACATATGCAAGTGCCCCACCACTGGCCATGGCCTTGGTCCTGGAGGCAAGACATAACTACTAGGTTGTAAATACTTCCATAGAACACAAAACACAATAAGAAATATCAGTGTTGCAGTTATGTTCCCTAATATCAAATCTGTGGCTACTTGAAGCAAAGCCATATTGATCTATGTATATTTGCACTGAATAGCTTAACTATATACCATGCTTAACTGTACCCTGCTTATAGAACTAGTACAACATTAACCTGGCATTGAACATTATATGAACTTTAAACCTCAGCTGTTTATCAGGCAATTGCACTGTATAAGCATACATAAATATGGTATTATATTTCTATATACATAACACAATACTAATTCATCCTACATTTATCAGTACAACGATATTACAACATGTAAATTATATATTTAACATTTGGACAAAAGTAAATTTTTTCATATGACTAAAAGGAAAGCACGATATAGCAATAGAATGTAAAGACTATAATAAGCATGTAATACTTGTAATAAGCATGGGGTGAACATCTAGTTGGAATTTAGAGGTGTGAATTTTTAATCGATCATCGATTAATTGATCGACACAAGTTTAATCGATTAAGATCTTAATACTCAATTAACTGATTATCAAAAAGATGATCTTCAATATCCTGCCGTGAGTAAGCTTACTTGATTTCACTGACTGATTGAGACCTAATTTGTCAGATTGACATGCCCAAGCTTAAAACTCAAACTGCCAAACATACTAATTACCGTAAGCCTGACGCTTACCTTTGTTGTTTTTGTGTTTTCTGATACATCTTATTGATACACAATATATATTCAATAGAGGTATGCAATCAAATCAAACGAATGAATAATCGCCTACATGTACTACTAAAGAATTAGAAAATTGTACCTGGAAATTATGTCAGATCTCCATCATTTATATTAGAATGATTAATCGATGATTAATCGATTAAAATATTTTGTTGATCGATTAAGTGATTTACCAACAGTGCACACCTCTATTGGAATTAAAGTCAGCAACCTTTTCAAAAGTTGTACAGTGAAAAAAGTTACTTACTTTACCTCCCCCTCCTATATGTTTTGTGTGTTAGATTCCCAAAATACGGTAAACATTGTACCCTTCTCTCCAAAGTTTTCAGAAAAAGTATCATTAGCAAATTCAAAAGGTTTGCTCTCTTATACAGATTGTGTGAAATACAATTGTGATTGTGTGAAAATGTCATTACAATCCATTGCTATTAAATGTTTCTTTTTTCTAATATCCTAATGCCTGTTAACTTGAAATAAAAACAAATATTTTACTTTTCTATGACTTTATTTTCTATTCTCTTTTGCAACGAGATATTTTCCAGTTGGTCTCTTCAACAATTAAAGTCCCCGTCTAAAGTTTGAAAATATTTTTTTATCATTCATTTACTATTTGTCAGGACTTAAAAAGTGATTTTAGAGATTTTTGAACAAAAAAAAATTTTGAAAAAAAAGTTGTGAGCATTTCATTTCTCAAATATTCAAAGGGGACATGCCATTAAGAGGCCATTCTCTGACTTAATCATTTTTTCAAATGTGTGAAAATAAAAAAATTCATGAAAAGTTCTTAAAATATTCTGAATAACAAGTTGAATATATATATTTAATGATGGTACAAGCAAAAGTCTGAAAATTAACATGAAATGAAGGGTTTTGACAGATGCAAAAGATGGTAGATTTGTGATGAAGAAATATAGGTTTTTGCAGTAACAACACAATTACCTCAAAGTTATCCGCTATGAGAGGCTGAGGACTAAACTTGACATAATTTTCAATCTCAGATTATCAGTAGTATCTAACTTTAGCCGGACAGCCACTCAAAATGTATATGGAGCCCATAAGATTCATTTTTCTCAATTGAAGTCACTATTTCTGTTTTTAGCTTCAGAGGATAGGAGGTACATGGACATGCTAAGTTTACCTAGATCACAAGCCTTACCACAAATATAAAGTATATAGGAATAGAGTTGATATGTGTGAAAACCTTTTACTTCCCATTTTATTGGGGATGGAACTTGTGGACCATGTGTATTTCTAACTTCTTCAAATGTGCATGGATGTAAAATTGTGGCAGCCATCTTGGATTTGTCATATTATGTGGACATGGTTTTGGTTGTGCTGAATTTGTTTCAAAATAACATTTCTTGTATACCTTCGATAAGTGAGATAGGCATTTGAAATTAAATACAGATAGTATACTTGACATTTAATGCAGTAAACAGTAATACAATTCATTCTTACATAATAAGTGAGTCCAGACAAAAAGTTGTTATTGTGGTAGTTTAACTGGGCATAAATTACACTCATTGGCCTTGGTTTTCTTAATTGGCTTGGATAAAATGTTGTTCTGTTTATTCAGAAAAGGAGTATAGTTCAATATACAAGTTCACATTCGTTCCATCCTCTTGTAGAAATGAATCTCACATTATTTCATCTCAAATATTGAACACAAAAATATAATAAAAAAACAAGTTTCTATTAATTGCAAAAGTTAGCTTCTATGTCATGACTGAGTTTGGGTTCCGCTTCTATGGAAAAATATCCATATGGAAATATCGTATTGACCATTGCTATACACTCCATATTTAATCCTCCCAGTAAATAACATTGATATACAGTGTACAAGTACTGTATATACATGTATGACATCGAGGATCTGGGGTTTGGGTAATGTGACACATGAGGCCACTTGTCTTTTTGAATCTCATATTCAATATTCTTTCTTTAAACCCTCATATTTAATATTTTTGGAGTGGTAATTCAATTATGTACCTATTTTTATTCTTTATCCCATATACTCTGTTAGGTAACATGAAAAGATATTTATGATATTTTGCAAATGCGTGGAAAAAGTGATATCTGTGGAATACGGAAAATATTTCACAGATATCACCCTTTGGCAGGGATTTGAAAACTACCACCAATATGATGTGTTTTGTTACATATTGATTTCATGACATCATGGGGATGAATGAATGAATGGATGTTGTTTTGATATGCTTTGTTTAGTTTTAGAGGTGAACTATGGGAAAAATAGAACATCCTATGAATTTTCGTGATATTGTGTTAATCCAACTCATTGATATCAATATCTGCGCTAATTCGCTATGCTAACTTGGCAAGATATTGATATCAACTCGGAGATAAAGATAAAATCATTTAAAATCATATGATATCCTATACATATCCTTTACTGTGCCACAACTTTCTCATATGTTATATATTTTGGCACAGGCCATCATTTATTTTCCTTGAATTCATGCTTTTGTTCCTCGTTTTAGAAATGAGAGGAAATCTTTGATTTTCCTTGTATTTAAGTTGCTTAAATGTTGCCCTGTGATGTTAATAAAAGTCAATAGTAATCCATTACAGTCACAATTGAAATGTACCCATTGCTAGCCCAGAACCTACCAAAATAGCATTTGCATTTTGTCAATATTGCCCTATGTGCTTTTCCATGAAAATAATTTTAATCGTATCTTTTCTTCAGTATTTCATATATTACATTTTAATATATTTATATTGGTTAATATTTATATACTATTTACTTAGACAACAATAAATAAAGAATTTTTTGTAAAAACACCAAAAATGGTATATGATCTTTAAATGACTGTTGTATGAACATCAAAGGTCAAAATTCGCTGAAATTGTATTTTTATAAAGCACAAATGATTTTTCCTCAATATGATATGCATAATTATCAGATATCTTTGGGGGCTAAAAAGGGCCCTTAATGACACCTGTCCTTTCCCGCCATTTTTCAAAAAAAGTTGAAATTTCTTAATCATCAAATATTTCTTAATGCATTTCAAAAAAGATTATCTTTTTAACACCAATGCAAAGATTGAACAAAAGACACACTATTTCAATAATAAAATGTCATATTTAATGGGCCACTTCAATGTTTTAGCTTATCAAAAATATTTTAAAACATTAGTGATGTCACTAAGGTAACAAAAACTTTTTGAAAAAATTGAATTTTTTTTTTCGATGTCAATCTTTTCTAAATATGCTAGACTTTCATAAAAACCAATGTTGATTGTCAAATCAGGTTAAAAGGAAGAATAAATTATGTTTTAAATATCATTGTACCATTGGTTTCTATGAGAACTAAAATTTTGAAATGCATTTTTCTCAGAACCATTTTCATGCACTGATAAGTTCATTTCTCGCTTGTTTATCAACCGATCAACATGGGAGGATGAATGCTATGCATTAGTATGAATTGTGGCTAATTAGAAGATATGAGTGACCTCTAAAAGTTGGTTTTAACAAATTTTCAAATTCACAAATTTTGGAACAAAAAGTCTATCAAAAACCACTTTTTGAAATTAAAAAAAAAAGTTTCACATATCACACTTTGATAACATCGGGTAAGACTACAATATAAGCCAAAGTGGTTTAAACTTTACATGGGGCCTTTAAGAGTATTAAATTAATATAAATTAATAAAAAATGATGTTGTTGACATCACCAAAAATACTAAATTGTAATGACTTGAATTCTCCTATGGCCTTATGCTTTTGGATTGTAACAGAGGTTTCTGAAGTATTTTCCCGATGTTGGCACTTTTGCTTATATGGGTAGTTTGTGAAAGTAAAGCAGCACATGTAGTTCATGTACTTTATGATCATCCCTTTAAGACATATACTTCATATCACCCCTCATACACATAAGCAAATAAAAGTACATGTACTAAAAGAGAAAGACAAAGAAACTTTTCAAGAGATTTAGTAATCAATTCAATATGAATGAAATGTCACGTGGTCTTTGAACTATAATGATGATTTCTGAATGGCAAGAGAAGATTACCACAGGCCATTATTTCTTTTTGCAGAGTTTGGGAGTTTGGTAAGTTTTCGAGTGATCTTTTCATATGAATATTGGATCTAGTCCATTTGTCATTTTCTGAACGTATAAATATTTAAAAGTATGATGTTTTTCTGTGTAAATACTATCATTAGGGATTATTGGAGTGATTTAGCTGGGTTGCCCAAAAAAAAACTTTGGGGAAAATTTTTGTATCTATTACCATGGTAACATACCAGGTACATGGTGGTATCCAAACGCTAAGTCAATAGTCAACGCCATGTTAAGCGATTGCACCCCTCCCTAATCAGCCTATATCATTTTTTCCCCAAACAAAATTTTTGGGCAACCCAGTTAAATCACTTCAGAAAACCCTTATTATCATAAATCGACCATAAAACATCGTACTTTTAACAATTTCTAGGTTCACTTTTGGATGTATAGGGGTGACAAATGGACTAATCAAGTGAATCCAAAAAACAACCCTCTCAATCCAATCTATATGATAATTTTTACCATGTTCGGGGTTTGTGTTCTCTTACTAATGCAAAATAGTATGTTGGTGCAAAAACTAAATATACAAAAATGTATGCATAAGTACCAAAGGGAAAGGACAAAAAAATGTTACAGAACACAGCAATAAAAAAAAACATCTAAGGGTACATCGGTCATAAGAAAAAACGACCCCAGACTATCCCAAACCATAATCAAACATGAAATTAAACTATGTCTAATGCCCCCCTCCCCGCCATTAAAATTCCATGATCATAATCCAGAACCATGACACCAAGGGACAGTTCATTCATACAGAGGCAATTGCATAAATCTAAAATTACATTCGAACGTTTAAAGTCAATAAAGTATATGTTGAAGAATAAACATGAATTACTCAGATGCGAGTAGGTAGTTACCAGTTTCGCCACCAGGTGGCTGATTCGGGGGAAATAACATGGCAGGGTATTACAAAATTCCCTTAAACTTGAATATTCATCAGTTTTAGTGGTTCACTTTTCATATTACCCTTATGTATCTGATAGTTATACAAATTAAAATATGTCCAGTAAAAGAAAATATTATCAACACAAGAAAAGATGTTTCCATTTTTGTGATTTTACAACATGGGGGCTATGGGGAATCTCCCCGACCTAGAAGTCACATTTTCAAAGAAAATTAAATTTTCAAACTCTTTTCAAAACCATATTTCTAGACGTAATTTTTTTACATGTAGATTCCAAATATGACATCAGTTTGAATTTTGAATTTTTAATGACGTAAATCAAGATTATTTCTACTCGCATCTAGGATATTGATAATCAATACTCATGACATCAAAACTAGTTGGTATTGATGTAGTATTCATACAAGATAGGGCAAACAGTCTCAAATGACTTTGGACTGACAAAATCCAGTCTCGAAGTCCATAAAAGTATCAAAAGGTCAACATCCATCCGCAAAGCCGACACCATACTCAATAAAACACAATATTTCACAATGATATCAGTAGAAAACTATGGCTGTTTTGATCACTATTTCTCATCTTTTAAAGGCAGAATCAGATCTATAGGGAGTGACAAAATTGCAAGCAATATGTACAATTCATCTATCAATATATTCCTTATGATCTCAAATACAATATCTCCCAAAAGATCTGTGATATGTTATCAATTGGTGAAGTTATTTAAGATTCAAAGTGCAAAAATAGGGGGGGGGGGAATATGTTAATTCCCCCATATAATAAGAATGGTAATTATATACAAATGATTGCATTATTGTAAAAATCAAATTGTTTTCCTCAAATAAAATATATACTGGGCCTATTTTTAGAAAATGGACATGACAAGGAATGACATGAGCCCAAAATATTCTAAAACTAAAACTATTTTCGTCAAGATGAAGCACCAAAGTACAGTTACTGCTAGAACTGATACTTCCTTTAATGCAATAGCGATTAGCCGGAGTCCACATTTAGTGAAGGCACTAACATGCAAGATGTCACAAAAAGTGGTGACATAAAAATTGTGAGTTCCGTACAAATTCTAAAATATTCCTATATCCTTGAGCATGTCAAGTGGCAAGATTTGAAACTTCAGAACAAGTGATCTACATGTATATTTCCCAGTAAAGCCTAGAAAGTGTTTCTTCTGCATTTTACAAAATTGTTTAGACTACATCAATCTATTCTAACTGGTTGTAAAAACTAGATTTAATGTAATCACTATGACATGATCTAATTTATGACAATGGATATATTTTTAGACTTAGAATAACGACCAGTTCACACTCAGGAAGAGAAAAAGTTAGCCTAAAGGAGTAATGAATTTTGTAACAAGATACGAAGATAGGAACTCAACAACCAAAACATGTGATAAAGTAAGCAATATATTTATTACTACCTATTAAGTACAATATTTAATCAGTTTCCATTTATAGTCAGTTGGTATAATAGTGGTATAATTCAAATAACTTCTAGAAAGCAAAATAACGTAAAATTGCAAATTATTTAGAAATACCATTTCAAATTCCAATTAGCCAGTGTTATAAAAGTTGTGTTTAGACACTTCATTGCATTCACTTCAAAAAATTTGTTGAAAAGCATTAAATCAGTGACTTTTCAAAACCAAAACACGTTCTACACTGCACTTATTGACCCTGCTTTTACTTTTAAAAACCAAAATATATTCTGGTATGCAATGATTAACCCTGCTTTTACTTTTTAATACCCAGATATGTTCTGCACTTTATTGATTGACCCTGCATTTATTTTCTAAAACCAAGATATGTTTTGCACTTTAATGATTTAGAAAGTACTATGTGCTGTTCTGATTGTTTACTTATCTCTTACCTCAATTGATTCTAAACTGTCCAAATGATTTACCTTGATCACACTATTGCCTGATTACATTTCAGTATAATGAAATAAAATATCAATTTTGAGAAGGAGTTAATTAAAGATTGTGTACAACTACTTGTGATTTGACCAATCAAATTAAACACACATTAATAAAAGAGGATTCTAATTCTCTAAAATAACAATGTGTAGACGTGAAGTGATTGGAAATTGTTGCAACTTTTGTGCTCTTGTTCTGAGAATGACGGAGAATCAACTAAGGTAAGAAATATGTGTACAGGCTTTGAATACTAAGGTAGGGATCAGTGAATGTCTCAATGACCACTCTCTTGAGAGAAAGTGGGTAGAAGTCTAGTCCACATTAAGACACACTTCATAAGGTTCTGGACACATAGTGGAACTACCACGTATTGGCATTAAGGATGGCAGTTCTTTTGCGCCAGGATTTGTAATTTTAAATCTTTGAAGTATTGCAGTACAGAACAGGAATAGTTCCATTCTTGCAAGTCCTTCACCAATACATGACCTCTTTCCTGAAATATCAATAATAAAAAAGGTTTATTATTTGGAAAACATAAAATCACACTATACAGGGTGGTTCAAAAAAAATCATTCACATGTTTAATTCTTGGTGAATGAATATGTGCAGGAAATACATATATAAACAGATATTTATCTATTCTTAATACATACCTGTTGAAAAAGTCAACATCTTGTCACTTGGACGAAACTTTCCATTGGCATCCAAAAACCGTTCAGGATTGAATTGTTCTGGTGATTCCCAGTGCTTTGGGTCATTATGGACAGCATAGAAGTTTGCATAACAGGTCGTTCCAGGTGGTAGAGTGTATCCCTGTTAATAAAGTAATGTCTGAGAGTTATATTTCCATTCCTTATTATGAATCTTCATTTGATATTGCTGCCAAATCTGTATAAAATCTATTTAGATATGCAACAGCATGTCAAAAACACATCTATGTAGGAATGAAGCCAATAGAGGCAAACAGAAATGAAAAGTTGCTACAAATGTAAAGAATAAATATTTGTCAATCTAACTTTATTGAATAAAAATAGTATAAATATGACAAAGCATAATCAATTATAACTTGATAACAGTAACAAGGCTGCCATTTTTGGCCAAATTCAGTGTCATTAGACAGTGTAATATTAGAGTACACAGATTTTAGCATAACTTTTTAACCACTACTTTCCCAGTAATAGTAAAATATGTAAATAACATATATATAAAAATGTCTATATTCTTAATATGGCTGCCTATTAGCCCAATTGTCATTACGATTTTTTTAGTACGGTATTCACTTATATGACATTTTAGCAAAATCAGTCCACATCATTTTCAGTTACTGGTAGAGCAAAAAAATATAATTGTGTATGCCTAAATTTTTACAGAACAAAGCAAGAAAAAGAAAAGAGTATACAAGTCATAAGGAAAGCAAACCCTTACTATTTCTAATTATAATCGAACGTAAAAGGAAATAATGTTTAATACATTGAGCATTAGCCAAATTGTCATAAGGAATTGTAAAATGCTTCTAAATAGACACAACTTGGCTGCATGGGATAAAACGTTATATATAAAAGGTAGAGAAAAGCATCATTGAAATATTTTCAAGCTTAACCCCCTCTATATATTATTAGCTAAAATACATATTAGCACATAACTATCTCCAATGGTACAACAGTAAGAGCCAATATAGACAACATATCAGAATTATCTCAGAATTTTCATTGAGGGAGAATATGTTTGAATATTTTATGACAATCGAACATGCTAAAAATCAATACCTTTATAGTTGTAGGGGTTTCAAATGTACTTCCATTTCCAGCAGTGAGAGGTGTCAGAACCTGAATACGCTGAATCTCAGTTAAAACTGCTTCAGTATAAGGAAGATTGACCTTGTCACGCATAGATGGAAATCTTTCTGTTCCAACTTCGTTGTGAATCTCAGCCCGAATTCTCTGTTGTACCTCTGGATGGTGCATCATGTAAACAATAACCCACCTACAACAATATATGTTCATACAAACATGAATTTGAGCTATGAATTCTATCAACCTTATTTCTTTTAGTTATGAATATTTCTTGTTTATTTTCTCTTTAACAAATGTTTATCCAAACATGAGAATTCCATCAACCTCAATTCTTATAACTATGTATTTTTCTAGTAAATCGTTTTATCTTTGATTTGTGGGTGTAAAAACAAAATGTCTCACTTTATTGTGGTAGTAGTTGTTTCTGATCCTGCTTGGAAAAGGTCCTCTATGTTCAAGTTCAGTTGTTCCTCTACAAATGAAAGAGAATAATAATCACATACTTTTATGTACTAGTATGTTACAAAAAAGAAGACAACTTTTTACAATGTATCTTTCTACATTTCAAGTCTTATGACATTTGATATACTCACGCGTGAACCAATGTTCTTCATCTGTCTTATTTTCCCTTTTCTTCATTTCTAAGATAAACGCATCCATGTAGTCATCAATGTTCTTTGGATCAAACTTTTCACGATGATTTTCAAACTCAGTTTTAAAAATTGATGATCGCATTTCTTCCATTATTTTTTTGGTCCGCTTTACTTTGAAAATATCTCCAGGCAACCAGGACATGAATTTTGTTCCAAAGAACATACATCCGAATGAAACTGGAATTATATTCCTGTTGAAATGTTCTTCCATTATGTCCAACATGTAGTTAAATGTTGAGTCTTTATAATCGAATCTATGTCCAAATATCAAAGAGCAAATAATATTTGAAACTGCACTGTTTATAAGAATTGATACATCATTTGGCTCACCATTGTATGTTTCAAACTGATCGAGTAAATGTTCAATTTCTGAATGAATTATCAGTTCTGATTTGTTTTTTCCAAGGCCGAAATCCCGAAGTGTGCTTAAAGTGAATCTGCGCTGTTCTTTCCATCGAGGACCACTAGATCCAATCAAACCACCAAAGAATATTTCCCAAATACCACTCTTTTCACGGCCAGCAAATGCGTCCATTCCAAAGATTTGCTTTATATCATCATAATCCTGTAAGAATATGGTGTATTGAGAGCCAAAATAGTGCCCTATCATGTCTGACTTTAACTTCTTTGACAGACTTAAAATCCTTTTTGCTCCACTTGGATCTTCTTTTGTTGGTAAGAATAAACCCAGACTCCCTATGATTGGCCAACGCCTAAGTCCTGGAGGTAACACATAGGGACTTGGTTGCATATATCTCCATACAATAATGCATAACACCAAGAACAGTAGTGTTTCTGTCAGATTTTCCAGTAGGAAGTTGAAGATTACTTGCAAAAGCCCCATGTTGCTGGTTGCTGCTCACATTAATGTCTAAACCTTTTGCAGTATTTATATGAGTATTGATCCCTATATGCTTACACTTATCAGCTCATTATTTTTGGTCATCTCAAAATGTCAATATCAGCTAAACAGCTATAGGTATACCATTGTTCCCAAATAACACCAAACAGTAAGCTAAGACATGTCAGATTAAGTATATTTGCATATTCATTTACATGTACATGATGGTAGTTTAGTTTAGTTTAAAATAGTTTATTAAAGTGTCACCTGTGACATATACAAATAAATACAACATAGTATAAAAAAACATTAAGTACAAGTATAAAAATCACAGCCAGCCAGCATCGGCTTTTGAGACACCATCAGTTCAGATCAATATAAATATATAATAAGATATGAATTGTTATTGCACAGTGATTAATTATGTATTACTAATACGTTTTCTCCTGGACCAAAATTTAAAAACAGTTGATGTAAGTTTATTTTGGATGCTGGCAGTGTTCATAAGTGTAAGCATATATATATAGTAATCAAAATAATATATGAACACAAAATCGTTTTGAAACAGCCCCTAAGAAAACAGGTCCACTGTATGGTATTAGTCGATAGGCTTTCATAAGCACTTTTCTACTGGCCCAATGAGTTTTTCTATGTCTAATATTTACTCAATATAATTTACAAAAGTACTTTATGATTCATAAACACAAGGTTTTTATACTTTTCTCTATCAATAATTATTCATTACAAAGTACATTTTGATTCATTTACACCTGATTTTTACACATGACATCATGTCTGAAAAATAGGTAGATTTTTAATTTTGTCAAGTAAATAATTTTGAAAACAATAATTATTAATAACAAAGCACATGACGTGAACGAGATCACACCATCAAAAATCTTTTAATAAGTATCTTGCTCTGATTTGTTTTTTCCAAGACCAAAATCTCGAAGTGTGCTTAAAGTGAACCTCTGCTGTTCCTTCCATTGAGGACCAGAAGATCCAATCAAACCATTAAAGTATATCTCCCAGAAATCATTCTTCCAACGTCAAGCAAATGCATCCATTCCAAAAATTTGCGTGATCACGTCATAATCATGTAAAACTATGCAGTATGAAGGACCCAAATAATGTCCAATGATATTTGATTTGAACTTCTATGACAGACTTAAAGCTCTAACCGCTCCACTGGGGTCTTCTTTTGTTGGCATCATCAAACTTAGGTTCCCTATGAATGGCCAAGACCTAAGTCCTGGGGGTAACACATAAGGACTTGGCTGGATATATCTCCACAATATGATGAACAACACAAAGAACAATAGTGTTTCAACAATAGTATTATATATACTCAGATTTGTCAGAATCAAATTGAAGATCACTTGCAAAAGTCCCATGTTGCTAGCTGGTTGTTGAGTTGATATAAAAAAGTGTTGAAACTTCCAAAGCGTATTCTTATCTGATCATTAATTCTCATAAAATACTTATATTGATCTGCCCTTCATAGTATTCATAGTATTCTAGGGGTCATTACAAATACTATATATAATCAATTCAAGGTGGGCAAGAAGTCTTTTCAAGATACTGGATGAGCGTGGTGTAAAAGTGGTTTTGAAAAATGGCAAATTTCTCTTTATGTAGGTTATTTGTTGTTTATTATTCTACAGTACATTGATTCTGAATATTTTTGAAATATGCAGATTTATACCCCCTGGTGTGATTTTAAGGGGGGTACTAGGAAAGCTATGTATAATTCTTAGAATATATAACCAATCATCTTATATTGCTCTAACTGATACAAACTTCGAAATTTTAGAAAATTGTCTGAAACAAAAATGATCGCCTTTCAATTCAGTTTTTTTTCATTTTTTTCTTTTTCTTCGATTGATATCACATTAGTAAAACAATTTATTTTGTATTGGGCACATTTTCTGAAAAATTCAAAAGATTCTGTTCAGTGACCTTTCCTAAGCTCCTACTTTTAGCTGTTTTCCAGTCACATTTTCAGAGGGCTGAAAAATTATTTCATCATGTTTAGGGTCATTCTGACCATGTACATTGTGATCCTTGTCCTGTAAATGATATGTGGAACTATTTGAATTGACTGGAGGTTAAAACAGAACTCTGTTATCTTTGTTCAAAAAATGTCTAAAAATGACACATTTTTGTCACTTCCTGTTTTGTCATTTCCTGTTAAGTACCACTGCACCTTATAGTAAAATACGTTAAAGTGGCGGCCTTTTTTCATAATGGCTGCCTTCTACCAAAAGTGTCATTGCCAAATATGAACAAAATCGCTCCACTAATTTTCGAGTTATTGTAAAATATGTTAAAATGGCGGCCATTTTTCAAAATGGTGGCCATTTTTCAAGATGGCCACTTTCTACCAAAAGTGTCATTAGACAGTGTGCCATGTTTATAGTATTCACATACCAAATATGAACAAAATCGCTCCTCTACTTTTCGAGTTACAGCAACAATCGTAAAATAATGAGTAAAGGCCGTCATTTTTCAAGATGGCTGCCATGTGCTTCTTAAATATCTACATTTCTAGCTTTATTAATGTCCTATATAATTTTTTTACATTTTAAACATATTGCCATTATAGTTTTACACATTGCACCTAAATTACTGTAAAATCGGCACTACCATGTTTAAACCTAAACCATGATACCATGGTATACCATGGTTCACCATGGTCTATCATGATCGGCAATGAAATTACCATCAACTCTGGCCATGGTGGCAATGATGTTTTTTGGTCAATTTTTTACCATGGTATATCATGTTATTGTTTCATGGTATTTCATGTTCAAAGTTAACCATCAAATACCATGTTATTATCATGGTATTTCATTGCCATGTTCCTGACCATCATTTATCATGGTATTACCATGGTATATCATGGTTGATTGCATTTCATGGCATTTCATTGTAAGATGTGACAATCAAATACCATGGTATTTCATTGCCATGTTCCTGACCATCATTTACCATGGTATTACCATTGTATATCATGGTTGATGGTATTTCATTGTACGATGTGACAATCAAATGCCATGGTCATACCATGATATTTTATTGTTATGTACCTGACCATCATTTACCATGGTATTACCATGGTATATCATGGTTGATGACATTTTATCGCATTTCATTGTACCGTGTGACAATCAATTACCATGGTCATACCATGTCATTTCATTGCCAAAATCATAACTCTCATTTATCATGGTTTTATCATTGCATTTCATGGTTGGTGGTTTTTCATGGCATTTTATTGTCAAACCTGACCATCAAATTCTATGGTCATACCATGGTATTTCATTGTCATAATCATAACTATCATTTATCATGGCATATCATTGCATTTTGTGGTTGATTGTATTTCATAGCATTTCATTGTCAAACCTGACCATCAAATACCATGGTTATACCATGGTATTTCATTGCCAAAAGAACTCTAGAAGAGTGTCGAAGTCTAAAATTGGTCAGAGTTGAAATGGATCATGAAATACAATGAAATACCACGTTTCACCATGAAATGCAATGAAATACAATGATTGATCATGATATGCAATGAAATGCAATGGTCTTTCTTGCAATGCAGTGAAATACAATGAAAGACCATGTTCAAAAATTAGTACCGTGGGTACTGGGCTCACATGGTGACAGAAAAAAACGGATATAATTTTTTGCTGATTTTTTGTAACAAAATTATTTCAAGCCACTTGCCACTATTTTGGACTGACGGAGAGACAGATGGACAAATCGATGCTAAGTAAAATTGCTGAAAAAAAACGGATATAATTTTTTTTCAATTATTTGGAACAAAATTATTTCATACAACTACTCTTTACAGTGACATGGCTTTTTGCAATGCAAGACACCTGAAATTATTTGTAAAGCTAGGAAATGGGCCAAAATTGAATTTCGCGAGACAAAAATGACGACCATTTTGAAATCAGGCAAGCTTTTGAACCAGGAGTCAAAGGGGAGTTTTTTTGTATTTATGTTGAACAAAAATAACGTGAAACTGGAATCCTATCAACAGAGGTTTTAAGTAAATGGTCCAAAAGAGGATTTCGCGAGACAGATGAACAAATCAATGTTAACTAAAATGGCTGAAAATAAAAAAACAGATATAATATTTTGCCGATTTTTTGTAACAAAATTATTTCATACAACTACTCTTTACAGTGACATGGCTTTTTACAATGCAGGACAGCTGAAATTATTTGTAAAGCTAGGAAATGGGCAAAAAGTGAATTTCGCGAAACAAGAATGGCGACCATTTTGAAAACAGGCGAGCTTTTGAACCAAGAGTCATAGGAGAGTTTTTTGTATTGATGTTGAACAAAATTAACTTAAAACGAGAATCCTATCGACAGAGGGTTTAAGGTATTGTAAATGGTCCAAAAGTGGATTTTGCGAGACAGATGGACAAATCAATGTTAACTAAAATGGCTGAAAATAAAAAAATGGATATAATTTTTCGCTGATTTCTCGTAAGAAAATTATTTCATACATCTTCTCTTTACATTGACATGGATTTTTACAATGTAGGACACTTGAAATTATTTGTAAAGCTAGGAAATGGGTCAAAAGTGAATTTCGCGAGACAAAAATGGCGGCCATTTTGAAAATAGGCTAGCTTTTGAACCAGGAGTCATAGGGGAGTTTTCTGTATTGATGTTGAACAGAAATAACTTAAAACAGGAATCCTATCGACAGAGGTTTTAAAACGTGCCACTGTTATTGACGAAAAGTGGATTTCGCGAGTCAGATAGACAAATCAATGTTAACTAAAATGGCTGAAAATAAAAAAATGCATATAATTTTTCGCTGATTTTTTTGTAACAATATTATAACATATATCTATCCTTTACATTGACATGGATTTTTACATTGTAGGACACCTGAAATTATTTGTAAAACTAGGAAATGGGTCAAAAGTGAATTTAGCGAGACAAAAGTGACGGCCATTTTGAAAATAGGCAAGCTTTTGAACCAGAAGTCATAGGGGAGTTTTCTGTATTGATCTTGAACAGAAATAACTTAAAACAGGAATCCTATCGACAGAGGTTTTAAAGGAAATGGGTCAAAAGTGAATTTCGCGAGACAAAAGTGACGGCCATTTTGAAAATAGGCGAGCTTTTGAACCAGGAGTCATAGGGGGGTTTTCTGTATTGATCTTGAACATAAATAACTTAAAACAGGAATCCTATCGACAGAGGTTTTAAAAAGTGCCACTATTGTTGACGGACGGACAGACGGACATCTTGTAATATATAGATACACTGTCCCACATGTTTTGTTAAAGAGCAACTGAAGCATACAATCTTTCCACAAAGATAAATTCAGACCAACATTTGGATATCTACATCATATAGGTAGATTATAATTGATTTTATTTACTTGTCATATCCAGTATTTAATACATTATAGGTTTAAACCCATATTAATATTGAAGTCATATTTGGTAAGTTAAAATCCAGTATATATTAATTATAGGAAATACCCATATTAATATTTAAGTCATGATTGGTAAGATAAAAATCCACATTAGATATAAAAGCAGGTTCCTCAGGCTTGTGACTGGGCATAGGTGGGTTTAACGTTTTAGTCCATGGAAACACTCCCCTTCCCTGCATGGATTCAATAAATAAGACATAACTGGGTCCCTGGACTATATTAACAAGTCCATGAACACTTCAGTGTACGGAGTATTTTTATAGTTAACATTTTTAATTTGTTTTCCATTTTTATAGTTAACATTTTTCATTTGTTTTCCATTTTTATAGTTAACATTTTTATTTATTTCATTTTTTATTTTTCTATTCATATATCTATACCATTTACTCAGTATTTTAAACTATTTAAAAAAATCATATGTATATTTATTTTATTTAAAAAAAATTATTGTTTAACCTGTTAGGGTATGGGATTAATGGACTATTTAGACTATACACCATGTGTATAAACCGGAAAATTTTTTGTATAGTTTAAAGTCATTTTCGGACCACTTACCAAATTACTCCAACTCAGCCACATCAATATTGGTACACAAAGTCACAGACGGACAGACGGACGGACGGACGGACAGACAGACGGACAAGTGAGTGATTGCAAAAGCTCACCATGTGAGCTAAAAAGTATTTTCTACATGAAATATCTTTATTAATAAATGTTAATTAGATAACCAAATTATTATTATAATTAGTGATTCTGATATTCATCAAAATCACAACTTTATATACTTTTGTTCCTTTATTTAATAAATTAATTTATATTATGAATAATTAAGTTAATAACCCTAGAAACAAATTTTTTTTGTTAAACAAATTTGCTTTACTTTTTTTTGACTGATGTCGGTGAAATAGGAGATCAGCTCAATATTTTGTAAGTCCAACCTCCAGTCTTCGACTAAACATCTTGACTGTACTTCATTGCATTTGATGGTTTGCAACCATGAAATACTGCAAAATAGCAGTATTTTAAATGCAAAATTTTAAGTAAAGTGACCATGGTAATAACATGGTAGATCATGATAATTGGATGGCTCCATTGCATATCATGGTTGAATGTCTAGACCATGATATCACTGCATTTGATGGTATTTGACCATGAAATACTGTGAAATGGTTGTATTTTTTAGATACAAAATTACATGTTAATTGACCATGGTATACCATGGTATAGCATGATCGTTAAATGGCACCATTGCATTTCATGGTCAGGAGCGCTTTTTAACATGGAGTTTCCCATTGAAAAAATACTGCTGTTTCGCAGTATTTCGTGGTCAGAAACCATCAAATGCAATAATATCATGGTCAAGAAACCATCAAATGCAATGATATCATGGTCGAGAACTTGACCATGATATCATTGCATTTGATGGTTTCTGACCATGAAATACTGCGAAACTGCAGTATTTTTTCAATGGAAAACTCCATGTTAAAAACGCGCTGTTAACCATGAAATGCAATGGTGCCATTTAACTATCATGATCGGTCATGGTATTACCATGGTATTTCATTTCATGGCCATATACCATGGTATACCATGGTCATACCATGGTATACCATGGTATAGCCATGGTCCATTTCAACATGGTAAAATGCCTGCCATTTTTAAAAGAGCAGCCTTTTTGAAAATTGGCTTTCGAGCAGAACTTCTACCCCCATAGGGTATATGTGTACAAAATATGAACAAAATCGGGCCAACAGTATTTGACTTATTGCCCGGACCGACGAACAGACATCTTGTAATATATAGATACATGTACACTGTCCCACATGTTTTGTTAAAGAGCAACTGAAGCATACAATCTTTCCACAAAGATAAATTCAGACCATCATTTAGATATCTACATTATGTAGGTAGATTATAATTGATTTTATTTATTTGTCATATCCAGTATCTAATTTATTATAGGTTTTAACACATATTAATATTAAAGACATATTTGGTAAGTTTAAAATCCAGTACATGTATATATTAATTATAGGAAATACCCATATTAATATTTAAGTCATGATTGGTCAGACAAAAATCCACATTATATATAAAAGCAGGTTCCTCAGACGGACGGATGTCCTGTAATATATAGATACACTGTCCTACATGTTTTGTTAAAGAGCAACTGAAGCATACAATCTTTCCACAAAGATAAATTCAGACCAACATTTGGATATCTACATCATGTAGGTAGTTTATAATTGATTTTATTTATTTGTCATATCCAGTATTTAATTTATTATAGGTTTAAACCCATATTAATATTGAAGTCATATTTGGTAAGTTAAAATCCAGTATATATTAATTATAGGAAATACGGACGGACGGACAGATGGACGGTGGCTTTCCCAATATCCCTCCAAACTTCGTTCGATGGGATAATAACCCAGAATAAGCGCAACTTGCACCCAGTAACTGTAAGCTGCAATTTCTGCACCTAGATCGATGCACAATTGCCCACAGATAGACTGCCAATTTGAAAAAATGATTTATCCCAAAAAAATAAAATGTTTTTGCAATTAATATGAAAAAACTGATTTTGTAACTTATAAACCTTTACCCTACGTCCAAGCACCCTTTTGAAAGAAAACAACTTCATAAGTGTCAAAAGCAACTTGGTGCATCAGCACGAAAGAGAGTGCATGTATACTTTATCATAACTTTATATTTGGTGCTTTATCATAAATTTAATTTCAAATGTGTCAACAACAACTTGGTGCATCAGCATGGATGAGAATTCAACTTCGTCATAACTTTAATTTGTAGAGGTAGATAGTTATAAAGAGGCTGTGATACTAATCAATGTCTTATCATAAAGAAATACATAATACAGTGAACACCTCTGTTAGTGGAACCATATCCAGAGTCATGCGACTAACTATAACTTAATGTGAGGTACCAAAGATGTTCCAAGTAGTACAATTAATACAAGGGTTTCTTAAATACCACATGAGCTGGCTTAAACGCAAATGGTGTTCTGTTACTTAATAGAAAAATAAATAAAAAGGAAAATAAAGCAAAGTCACTTTTTCCAACCAATTATTTTTACACTACACGAGACCTTATGGTTTAATCAATTCACTTCTTTGGGAGAGGAATTGATTATTTTAGAGAGAAAATAAAATTTAGTTGAGAACAAAGTGAACAGGTCTCATAGGTTGTTAAAAACACCATACATGTTCTAACAGTGCTGATCGATATGCTTAATCAGCAGTCTCACTCCACCTGCTTCGGGGATTAAACTGAAGAAGATATGAAGAGGAGTTACCACACAGAAAAGTTGATCAGGCTCCACTAGCATTTGATACAATGTAGCCATGCAAGATGGTAGGTTAATAGACCGAAGACCACATTATATCGATTTCACTAGATCTCATCTGGATGGTACCTTTAGTAACACTCTTACATTCACTCATACATTCTTATTTCTGCCTTTCTCACTATTTCTTATTTTTCAGCAATCAGTTGCATTCACCTACAAGTCAAAATATCTATTGGATTTATCTTACACGTTGCTTGCAATACCATACATGATATCATCGAAAAAAAAAATAATCAAAATATTCAACAGGAATCTTACTCATTAATTAGACATTTGACTTCAGAAAGAATTTCTGACTTCACATTAATATCAGATGTACTATCTGCCACTAACAGAACAAGCATCTTAGCTTAGTATATTGTAACAAACCTTAAATTATACATTTTGAAAAAAGATAGCCAGGATATTATGGCTTGAATATTAATAACACCACTGACATAATCAGATTAGCCACTCCCACCCTCTTTCCTGTAGTCGAAAAGGGACTTTGGTAAGCCACAATATGATGTATTGTGGCAATTGAAAGCCCATGATGTTACACTATTGGCTGGGTACATCTTGCATTTTACTCCATTCATTCCTGATATGTTATATGTAGTGTAGTAAAGTGAATCTTCTAATCAATCAGTCTTGTAAGTTAGTATGAGGGCATGTGTGCAAAGTTTTTTAATTTCATAATATTGAAGTGTTTCTAATATGCAGATTAATTAAAATAATCAATGCATATTTTAATGAAAATGTTTACATACCAAGTGGTCCAGTATCACCCTTGATCTTGTCAAAGCCCTGAAACATACAAGAAAATATTAAATAATATATCATGCATACAATATAGTAAGCATTTTACTCTTGCTCTCTTCTACCCTCAAACCCTTAATTATGTTCCATCCCTACCCCAATATTTCTCAGACACTTGGTTGGAGAAATGTTTAAGGGTTAGGGGTTGTGATTTGGCATAATGATGACAATTGAATACATGAATCGTATTTCAAAATTTTATACTCTACATCCTTTACTTTCACTTTGACAGCTTCTTTTCAAAATGGATGTTTAAAGCCCCATGTAAAGAGTAAAAAAGAGTAAGTTGTTAATCTAATGATTTTCAAATAGATACGATTTTTAGATCATCAAATACAACACTTAACATATTATTTACATATATTTATCTACTCCATTGAATAAATCGGGCAAAAGTATTTCAACCACTCAATCTAGGATTTTATATATATATAAACTTTTAATGCATTCTTCTTAAAGTGATGTCTTGGGAATATGCTGTATAGTCATTCAGGTAGCAAAATATTTTTCAACGAGGCATTAACATGACAAAATGCCACCACCTAATTGCTCACAATATTTATGAGTTCAATCTTAAGTCAGATTTGAGAACTTGAAGTCTGAGAACCACCCGCCAACCACCATCACAAAAGATGGAGACTATAAACAATATGTCTCCACTTTTTGGTGGTGACATACAAGTTTGTAAAAAGGTCAATTTTTCTCATATAAATATTTTCTAAAGAGCTGAACTTCAAAATAAAGCAATGTTGTTGGCCTATCTAGGTTGAAAATTAGTTTATCATATTAATGTACCATTAGACATATAAATTGCAGGTTGAGTTCCTTTGAAAGAAATTTATAATTTTGTGAACAAAAAGTCCTTCCAAATCAACTTTTTGATATCAAATTGAAAAGTTTCACATATCACATTTTGATAACATTTGGTAAGACTATATTATAAGCTAACATGGTTTAAACTTTTATGGGGCCTTTAAACCCAAATAGAGTGAGAACTCTGTATAGTGATTTCAATGTCTGTGTTAGAAAGTACCCAGAATGTACTTCAAGATTAGAGTCTAAAAAGGGCAATGTTTGCATAATTCTGCAGCTAAATAAACAAAATCCAACAAAATGGTTCTTATTCATATTGAATAATGAGTAAGTTAAATCACATAACCAATATTCACTCCTTATAAAGTTCAACCTTAGAGTAGATATACGAGTAGTTTTAATATTCAAATTAAATAATAAAATTAATGTTCTTTTGACTAAAACATAATATCAACAAAGACTTGTTTAAATGAGATAATCAAAAAGTATAATCAATACAATCAATAAACAAGGTTCACCATGACTCACCTCGAGTGATCACACCATACATGAGGTGATACCACCGATCCCAACCCAAACCCTTCTGATTATGCATATGATCATGAATCACATTGAGTGATCACACCATACATGAGGCAATACCACCAATCCCAACCCAAACCCTTCTGATTATGCATATGATTATGAATCACCTACAAGTCAAAATATCTATTGGATTTATCTTACACGTTGCTTGCAATACCATACATGATATCATGGGCTTTCAATTAGAAAGTTGAGAGCCCATGATTCTTGTAACTGGTAAATGCAGAAAATATTGTGGCCCAGAAAGGATGTATTTTACTTATCTGGCACCTTTGAAATGCAAAAGGTCTTAGGTACATTTAATCTTGTACTTTTGAATCTTTAAGTAACTTTTAAATCTCTGGTTGTGCCTTTAATCTGCTCAAGAATATTAAAACATCAGATGTCATAAGAATCTCATTGATAAACAAAATTAGAATAACAAAAGAATAAATTGACGCTAATCTGGTTATGGGGTACATGATTAATATACATATGTATTATTCTGCTTGTTAAAAGTACTGCTGCACATTGAAGCAACCCTGTTTGGTTGCATGTAGTGTTAGATATAAAGATTGGAAATGAAATGTGTGTATTGTATTTCAATAGCTTCTTGCAGTGAATGCAACAATCAATTATACAATTGATCCCAGAATGGCACAATTATATCTTTTGTGGTATTTCATTAGGTACGGTTAACAATCAATAAGGTCAAGGTTATGTTTTACTTACAATTTACTGTGATTATAGTTATACACCACCTATTGGTCTAAAAGAGAGACTTATTATGTATGGTGCTTGTACTTTATAAGAAATATAGACCGAAGAGCATGTTTTATATCAACAAATAAATTCAGCAGGGCAAGCCACAAACATTTTTTATTACACAATATAATACCTGATCTGAGGTCTATATTATAATTCAAACATGAAAACTTACCCAAAATTTTGCAAAATTGTCACTTCATTTCCTACTCATTGTTTAACTTTAGCACTGTATTAAACAAAAACTGGATGACCATGAGGTGGATATGCCAGAATACCTATCCGAGGAAAAAAATACTAGGCGAGGCGAAGGTATAGGTATTATTGCATACGGGATGGTTGGAGATCTTGTTGCTTCAATACTGGATAGAACGAGCTGCCACGTATGGCAATAGACCCTGAAGCTCTTAACCAATCAGACTTGAGTATTTTAATGAGGTGCATAATAACAACGAATATAGACTGTGTGAAATATTGACTTTGTTCACAATTTAAAGAAGGCGTGAATACAGTCATGTTCGAATGTAATTTATATTTTTGTTCAGAATTTAAGCATTATTTTGCATTGAACCCAACATCAAGAACAATGGCACTGGATGGCCACATTCTGAGAGAACAGTATGAGCCAAATATTTCACTTTGGGTCAGGAAGATTTGCAAAGTATTATTCCTAAAGAACATTAAAAAAGCAGGTTGAATTATTTGCGAGGGGCTCAATTTAGCATGAAGCTTATTTTCCTTATCACAAAGGACAGACGGATGGACTAACGGATGGATGCCTAGTCAATACCATAGTCTCATTGAATGAGCCGAAAAGATCTAACTTTCCTTGTGCATGGTCAGATTTTCCCATAAACATTTTTTCTAAATGCAGAATCAGTTTCTCGTCATTTTTTTTATCATACTAATAATATTCAATTTTCTGTCAAGACATATCAGAATATACAGGGTGTCCCGAAAGTATGCCCCCCCCCCCTAGGCAGACATATACCAGTGTCGTCATAGTAAGTGTCATATATCATTTTAAAGCTTATCCAAAGTTACATTGATTCACCAAGTATCATGGTTCAACTCTCAAATGTGAAAAAATTACAGGCATTTCAAAATTTAGTGTTTGGTCAAAATTAAGTTAAATTTTACACCAAATCACTAGTCAATGTGTCCTCCCGGGCCATCTTAAAGTCCCCGATAAATCGGGCTACGTATACCGCCGTGTTTACATTAGGGGATTAGAAGGGTTTATTTTTTATTTAGGTATGCAAGCTACGTATATCAATATTAGGCCTTCATTCATGTACTCGTGTGCATGTAATCAGCATGCCCTTCAATATTATGTAAACCAGGCTATTCAAGTATAATGTACACTATTTATGTGTGTACTACATACAATACAATTCCCTGGGAAACAAAACACAAATACGTTCAAAATGAGCCATTTGATTGATGCAAACACTAAATAGCTTCATAAATAACATCTACAAAGTATATCTAATAGTAATTTTCAATTTCAATGTTGAAACTTCCCTGGTTAAGATTATATGGGAAATCATCACGAGACGAAGATCGTTCGCCTTCCTGGCTTACCTCTGAATCGTGTACCAGGCAATCTCTTTATATAGTTTAGCGAGAGCGGTGCGCCTGCGCAGTTTTAAACTTTGGCGCACACTTTAACAGCAGCAATTCTTTTCGGGTCGGATGGATATTGAGTTAGAAAAAGAGAATGGTGAGGGTAGAAACTCCAAGGAAACTCTTCTAAAGTCCCTTAACAGGTTTTAAGAGGGTTATAAAATTCCACACTCCTATTTGAAGGGCTTTAAAGGTCATATCTGAAAATAATTGCCGCTCTTAACATGGCCAAGGGGGGACACATTGACTAGTAATGTGGTGTAAAATTGAACTTTATTTTGACAAAACACTAACTTTTAAAATGACTGTAACTTTTTCCCATTTGGGAGTTAAACCATGATACTTAGCAAATCAATGTAACTTTGGACAAGCTTTAAAATGATATATGACACATACTATGAGGACACTGGAATATGTCTGCCTAGGGGGGGGGGGGGCATACTTTCGGGACACCCTGCACATGTACCCTAACCTATCATCTTTTTCTGACATACTCTACATAATGTCAATCTGCTAGTATTACTTGAAGCATGATTAATATTGGTTTACTGACACGCTGATATATCATATCAGAGTAAAGTTGTTGCATCAAATATTATCTTTATAAGTGGATGTTTTGATTTATACACCTAAGCAGACACCCTAGGGAGAGCACCCTAGTGTCCATTAGCCTTTTTTAATCATAGACCCTCATTTGACACCTCATATTTTTACAAATCTTAACCAATTCACTTGAGAAATTACTTAAAAACAAAATTCATATTTCATATCCCTGATCAATTTCAAAACAAACAGACATATTTAATCTGTTACTAGGGCTTATTTGCATGCTAATTAATGCACAATTTATATATTAATTGTCAGCAGATGATTTTATACAATAATTTCAATTGAACTTCAACAAACCACCCCATGGCTTACTGCAAGACTTTTGAAGCAGGCACACTTCAAGAAATCAGATAATAGCTACTTAGAGTCTTAATGAATTACAAGAGGTATGTATATGTAAAAGATAGCACTAATACTGCTAATAAATTAATCAATATTTATTATTAATAAAACTATACTTATGTGTATTAAATATAAAATGTATAACCAGTATTTGAATGTATTGTGAAGTGAATCTCTCATTCTAATTCATAAATCAATATACACATGTAATATTGAAATAGCACATCTCTGGGTAAGTGTTATCTACCTCATCGTTTTTTATTGATCAATTACGTCAATTACGATTTACGTCATTAGAAAATTCAAAATTCTGCCAAAGTGATGTCATATTTGACTTCTTCATGTAAAAGTACTTCTAGTATTGTGATTTTAAAAAGTGTTTCAAAAGAGTGGTATCGATATGGTGATTTTTTTTAACACACGCTTCTCTTAAACCGGTCATCAAAACATTCTGAAAATTTTACACCTCGTCAATTTAATGGTCATCTTTTGGATGGTTACATTATAATTTGAAATTTATATACTTTTCTCTATATTGTTTTAGAAAACACATCAGGCACTTCTTTTGTTCTTGGTATCAAATGTTCGGAATGAAATAAAACATCTATCCGAACCTCATTGGAACAAAACGACATAAACACAACGTGTTTAGGTCTCTCAATATTGTAATTGTACAAAGGAAAGTTTGGTTAATTTTAAAAAAGTATCTTATTAACGAAATAAAAGGTTTATCTTAATTTATATCTATTTTGGGGTTTTTGTTTTAAGTTTTTGCATATTTTTGTTAAATCAACAAAAATTTCCTTTGTATAACTATAATATTGAGAGGTCGAAGAAAATGTTGTATATGCTATTTTGTTCCAACAAGGTTCAGAAAGACATTTCATTTCATTCTCAAGAATTGGTAGAAAGGAACAAAAAAAACAATTGCACTAAAAAACAAAAAATGTTAACAAAAACAGTAAACAGTAGAATAAATCATTTTTGCATTAAATTGTTGCCAATCAGTCAACATTACATAAAGGGCCGTGTTTTTTTACAAAATGTTTTCAATAATTGGTTGAAGAGAAAAACATTGTTGAATTTAGTTCACCAAATTGATACCTTTCCTTTGAAATTTTAATTTTCTTTGAAAATGTTAATTCTAGGTCGAGGAGATTCCCCATAGACCCCATGTTGTAAAATCACAAAAAGTGAAATATCTTTTCTTGTATTGTACAGATAATATATTCCTTTACTGGACATTTTTTAATCCATATTACTATCAGATACCTAAGGGTAATATGAAAATGGAACCACCAAAAACTGATAAATATTCAAGTCTAAGGCAATTTTCTAATACCCTGCCATGTTATTTTCCTGGTAACTACCTACTCGCATCTGGGTAATTCATCAAATGTTGTGTTTTTAAAATTGGTGATGCAGGAATATTTTGATTTTATATTTATAATGTCTGATTAAATAAAAATCATATGAATGTTAAAAAAATCTGATAATATATCTAGGATTTCTTTAGCTTAGATTGCTGATAATTATACAATAATCAACAATCTGAATTTCTGAATCACCTTTTAAGATAAATGAGAGTTTTGAATTATCTACTTTGTGAAGAACTTTAGTTGATTGATTTTTTCTATGGAGTTGTTCTGGATACAGAGTTTATCCTAAGAGAGATGTGTGTGTTTCCGAAGGATGCCTCCAAGGTTCCTCAATTAAAAAAGAATATGTAATATTGATTGAAATTTTCATCATTCATTTTCAAAAATGTTATTTTTCATGGAGTAAGATACAGTGATATATGATCAATACAATTGTTTTTACAATCCAATCAAAAAACACACTTATTAAATCTGTATTTAAATGCAGGATGGTATTTCAACACAATGACAGTTTGAGTTATTGAGCTTTCACAATAAAATTGATCTGTCTGAATTCAAAAAATCAATAAAATAAGTAAAATACAGACAATATCTTCATTGCAACAGATGCACATTTGCAATTCAATACAAATACAGGTAAACTAAAAAAGATCACAAGAAACGTATAATCAGATTTTAACACTGTATATCATTTAATTGTATTTGGTTATCATCTGATCATATTACTTAATATTAATGAATGGTGGGTTAAATTACAATATTACTACTGTATATGTATCTGTTTATGCATGATATTAGGTACACAATAATGCAATTAAATCAAACAAGCAACTATACCATAGGAAATCAGAACTGTAACATATTGAATTTAACTTACAGTGTATATAACCATCATATTAAGTTATATAATTAATTTTATTCCATAGTTAGCATGATATTCATTGGATAACATGTGAAAATAAAAACGGTATTTTTGTAATCAGTGGTAAAATATGATATTTTTGACAAATTTTCACTTAACCATAGCATACGGTTTTTTAGCCATGACATACGACGTCGTATGCGATGGTTAATGGATTTTTGCTACTTCAGACTCAAAACGAGGCTAAGTGTCAACATCGCCGGATCGTTTGGAAAATTCGAATTTAATGACTTAATTTCCGACAATTCTGATGATGACTTTAACTATGGAATAAAAAGAACATCCTATGATTTACTCGTGATATGATTTTAATCCACTCATGGATATTGATATCTGCACTCTCTCGCTACGCTCGCTCATGCAGATATCATATCCATTCGTGGATAAAAATCATATCACTCATAAATCATAGGATATCCTCTATGAATTTACCTTATATTGTATACATGAACAACCATCATATTATGTTTAGATAATTTTATATATTTCAGATTACTATGACAAAAGACTAACTAGTGGAATCTAATGAAAATACAACAATAAGGCAAACAATTACAACATATATGGACAGACATACAGTTAAAACCGAAGACTGTCAATAAGCAAGACAAAGGAAAAAGCAATTAATTATATTGTAAATAAGATAAATGACTTAAACAAAACTAAAAAGCAAAAGACATCACAAATAAGACAGACAGATCAAACCTAAGGGTCACTTTCAACTAGAAAGACTGCCATGAAAACATAAAAGGCGATAAAAATCAATGATTTTGGTAATAAGCAATTAAAAATATTAACCCGTGAAAATAAAAATTAACAGTGGCTCCTAAAGTGAAATACCTGTGCAACAACTTTAACAAGATGGATGGGTGGATGAAAGCTGTTGCAATTTTTAGTATATTACAAATACTAATATTGATTATCGATTTTATAAAAGGTAAGTACAGTACATAAATGGCAGTAAGGCCATAGTCAGCCAGTGGTTCACTTTTCCTAAAATCATTGGCGGGGGTTCACATTTGACAACTGGCTCAAAATCACTTGAAAAGCACTCAGAATGGTGAATAACTGCATACTTTCGAAAGAATTTTGGGGTAGGAACCCCTAGCTGTTGGCAATTTAAATTTCACCTTACCCCTACCCACACCCTCTCCCTGGTGTAGACTGTACACAGTCTTGAGGCAAGACTACATAAAAATGAATGTGATCATGTCACCTCTTGTTCCAATGAGTAAGTTTACAGTAAGTATAATCTAAAACAATTGCAACACAATAAAATAATATAATTGATGATAATTATTTAAAGTCCCCGTCTAAAGTTTGAAAATATTTTTTTATCATTCATTTACTATTTGTCAGGACTTAAAAAGTGATTTTAGAGATTTTTGAACAAAAAACATTTTTTGAAAAAAAAGTTGTGAGCATTTCATTTCTCAAATATTCAAATTTCCCGCCATTTTTCAAAAAAAGTTGAAATTTCTTAATCATCAAATATTTCTTAATGCATTTCAAAAAAGATTATCTTTTTAACACCAATGCAAAGATTGAACAAAGGACACACTATTTCAATAATAAAATGCCATATTTAATGGGCCACTTCAATGTTTTAGCATATCAAATATATTTTGAAACATTAGTGATGTCACTAAGGTAACCAAAACTCTTTGAAAAAAATTGAAATTTTTTTTTCGATGTCAATCTTTTCTAAATATGCTAGACTTTCATAAAAAACCAATGTTGATTGTCTAACCAGGTTAAAAGGAAGAATAAATTATGTTTTAGATATCATTGTACCATTGGTTTCTATGAGAACTAAAATTTTGAAATGCATTTTTCTCAGAACCATTTTCATGCACTGATAAATTCATTTTTCGCTTGTTTATCAACCGATTTTCTTAATTTTTTCGGCAAAAAACATGGGAGGATGAATGCTATGCATTGGTATGAATTGTGGCTAGTTAGAAAATATGAGTGACCCCTAAAAGTTAGTTTTAAATAAATTCACAAATTTTGGAACAAAAAGTCTTTCAAAAACCACTTTTTGAAATTAAAAAAAAAAGTTTCACATATCACACTTTGATAACATTGGGTAAGACTACAATATAAGCCAAAGTGGTTTAAACTTTACATGGGGCCTTAAAGAAATATAGACCAAAGAGCAGGGTTTCTAGTTTCGAATAACACCCCGCTGGTCTCGGCACAAACGTTTCCTGTACCCCGAACGACCGAAGGGAGTGAGGGGTTCGAAAGCTGGTCCGCCATTACTACGACCCACCGTTATGACGTCACGCATTACACGTATTAACTGGGTTATTGATCTCGAATATAACCCAGCTGAAGCATTGACTTTGTTTACAGTTTATAGAAGGCGTGAATACAGTCATGTTCGAATTATCTATATTAAATCAAATATATAATGTAGATGCCCTATTTGAAAGATTAAGTGATTCTATCAGACAATTGTCTCTTAATTCCAAAATGGTTAAAAATATGCAAATCTTTGAAAATTTTACAAAAACTCTGAACTTCAACGAGATTTTAATCATATATTACAAAGCATCTATTAACCCATGATTAACAAATTTTCATTTTGTAAAGGTTAATTAATCAGATGGATAATTGAATTAGCCAGGGGACACAACCTGCAAAATATATGTATTGGTATGTACAGGGTGATCCAGAAGTAGCATAAAAGATGTTGCCATTTCAATACTACTGGACAAATCTTTGTGAAACTTGGTGAAGATCTTCCCCAAACTTTATTGAGTCTATACTCTAAATGTAAACATTTCCCTGTTTGATTGGTTGATGTTACGGTAACTATGGTAACTCGAGGTGATGCCATCGGGCAAATTATTTGCTTCAGCAGAAAATAGAATGAAAAATTTAAATATTAATGTTAGTTTTAAACCCTTTATTTTATTAGAATCATGAACATTTAATCGCTCAATCATTTCATACATGTTACTCTGCATAATTGCCACAATTAGCAATATATTTTTCATTGTAGTACTACAGACCTGAAAAATTTAAGTCTGTGATAGTATCCACTCTGCAAAGTGATCTCAAATCCATAATAACTCATTTTTTGAATATTCCCACGACATCCATCTTTTCTTAAATCATCTGAAGTTGGAAAATTGATTCAACTTAGCTACCATTTAAGTTTACTGTGTAAGTAAATGTCACTTGGGGCAAGATCGGGGAAATATAGCGCATGCTCAAGTTGTGACAGTTCTAACTCATCCACTATACTGGTTGTCAGGTCATGGCCTTGTGAGCTTGGGCGTTATCCCAGTAAAGACTATTCATCCGTTCCAGTCGTATATTTGCTATTATGATGCTTGGTTAACCACTTCCTCAGAAAATAAAATAATGTGTTTGACATCATTGACTATATTGAGATTCGAATGGCAACATGAAACAAATTAGAAATATTTTGAAAAATCATTGATATTCATTTAAGTTATCAAGTTCTAAGAGTTATTTCTTTCGCATAATTGAATTTGCCCCAGGTGACGTCACATCGGTTACCATAATAACAATGAAATGAACCAATCAAAAAGTAGAAGCTTTATCTTTGAGATATCAACTCAGTAATGTTTGGAGAACACCTGTACCAAGTTCCAAGATGATCACCAAAATAGTATTGAAATGGCAAAAACTTTGATGTTACTCCTGGATCGCCCTGTATCCCGCACAATGAATCAATTTTTGTTATATGCCATTGAATTAACAAATCAGTCAATGAGAAATATTGATGTGATATGATAACTATCTATATAATGAATTAAATAACATTTAATGAGCTAAATAATTATCTTTCAATTTTATATGCAAAACCACACGCAATATTAAGTGCAATATCAAGTTTTTTTATTACTCAAATGATTCATTAGTAATGTTACTTAACATCATAACATGTGATATTTCATCCTCTGTTCAAAGGTTGAAATGAGATATGGCCTTTTTTCTCAGTCTAATGAGGATCAACATAATTAGAGGCATTTCGAGTGGTTGTGCAATAGACTGTTATGCAGTTAAGTGGAGAATGAGGGGAGTACTAGGGGCAATATAACGTCTTTTGTAAGACTAAAATTTGAATATTTAAAAAATATGTCTATTTGTTGTATATGTGTGTATCATATGTATGATAGTTGCATGATCAGGTAATTAATGATACTACAGTATATATGGAAAGTCAATCTACACTTTTTATATTATTACAGGTCTGTAGCCAGAATGGTTTGAGGGTGAATCCCTCCCCCTTGGCAAAAAACTCCTTCAAAACCATGCAGCTTTTCATGATTCTGAGCATTTTTCATGTGGTTTTGGGCCAAACCTGTCAAAGTAAACCCCCCCTGGAATTTTTCTGAAAAGTGAACCCCACCTTTGCAAAAGCTGGCTATGGGTCTGTACTCTGATCTGTATTATTAATAAAGTACCATTGTAGGTCATGCATGTTATAGATCATATGTTACACTTCACATATGCACACAATAATACTACATTTTAATTTATAAGTCAAGGAACATCTGCACGATTCATTGATCATATTTTATTTCATTTAACTTATGCCTCATCAAACAATTTACCTTTAATACTTGTAGAATGTTACTCGAGTCTCTAGCTTACAGCTAGACGAAACTTCATTGATTTCGTATGTACTGTGCTACACGCACCTACACGCACCTAGAACTCATTTTTAATAAATTTTATAAATATTTTTAAGAATATTAATCATATTTAGGATGAAGCGTTGCTTGTCTGGATTTAGATATTTCAAAATTTCATTTCGGAGTTTGAAATTTTCTCGCTGTAGCCAAAAATGGCTTCCGGTTCTGGACGTGAATAACATTTGAAATTATTCTCGCTTAAAGAAATCAAATATAACAATAGATTCAGACGGGGATGTGAGCTGATGTTCTTCAAATCTATACATAAAGGTATATTTCATATTATTATGCCATATTTACTGTGCGTGTGACACAATGATTTACAATATTTTAATACTAGGGCAGCTCAATCTTCCTCCTCAAAGCCGGAATATAGAGAAGGCTTTGGACCGAAGTAAGTAGAATGTATCTTAATTAGAATCTGAAAGTACATGTATATAGTGGTATATAGAGATTACCCAAGTGAAACTATATGAGAGGACCAAGATATTGGAATCCCTAGGGGAGGGCTGGAGATGTGTTGTACTGGACAAGTGCTCACTGTTGAAAATGACACCTTTTACAATCTTACCTTATATTCTTCAAACATGTTCAAGTATATGGGATAAACATTTTTACAAAATCAAGTTTCTAGTTGTTGCATAAATCATTTGTTGATAAATTGTGTCATTTGAAAAATGGTACAAGAAATATTAAAATAAAGGCAAACAAATAATATTTGCATTTTTGATGATAACTGGGATTTTAACTCATTACCAGTTCATTTATTTCATTACTAAAATTGTACCTTTACTACTAGCACCATCTATTTATCCACAAAATGTTTAATTTACATTTATATTGCAGGATACTTCCATCTAGGAGTGTCAGGTAGTTCCATCTATTTAGTGGAATCAGATGCACATCTCGGACTTGCTGTTGGATATATTGTAACTGTGCTGTTCATGCTCCTAACTGGCGTAATATATGCCCTGTATAGATTGGAGAAAAAAGAACAGACGAGGCGACACATGGAAAAAGTGTGTTTCGTAACTGAATGTTCAAGTTCCGACACAGAAAAATCACATAGGATACAGATTGATGATGCTTCTACGCCAAACAGTAATGTGAAAAATAATGGTGTATTTGCCACATAGTTTTACACCATGGTGCCATAGAATATATTACTTAAGGCAGGCTTCGTAAGATGAATTTCAAACATGTAATGTGAAAGGTCATAGTTAACTAGTCAGATTACTCATTCTATTGTGCCTTAATATATAATAACAAGACCAAGTGCAATATTTGTACCATATCGATATAGTCTATATACTGGTTCATGTATACATACATGATGTGATATTTTATGTCTTGGCACTTTCTTGAATTGCTTTTGCAAAAATGTGGTCAATTAGGTAATTATTCCATGTAAACGAAAAGACAGTTGATTGACTTTAGTCACAATTACTTAGGCCATTACTACAAGAAATGCTCCCATTTCAAAATGACATTGAAAAATGGCTGAACTGACAATTCCTGATATATGGTGATTGATATGCATGAAATGGCATTTCAACTGGTTCATGAACAAAAGTCAAGTGCATTATTTAATCTCTTATGCAGATACATCTTCCTGGAGGTCTAACCTGGCATATCAATGTTTTTTATTTTATTAAAACAGTCACTGGTGATATTGATAACAAGGTACAAGTACCTATAACTTGAGGGTGAAATGTACATCAAGAATCATGAATGATTAAAGGGGAAATTTGATATTACCAATATTGAACAAACTCTACAATCCTCAATTATATGTATATTTTTGAAGTTGGTTGGAGTAGTAGCATTTTCAAGGAGTTGAGAATCTCTCAGTTGGAGTGTCACATAGATCTCACATAATCAAATGATACACATAAACTACAGTGAAACCTGTATATCTGAATACCTCTTTATTCCGAATACCTCTAAATGTGAAAACGTTTTCTCAGTTCCAAAGTTTTCTCCTAATGACTTACATATTTATAAAACCTTGAAATGTGAACACCTGCTAATCTGAACACTTTTGGCCGGTCCTAGATGTGTTTGGTTTTACTATCATCAAATTATTGGATGAAGAAACGTCATATTGATAACACTTGATCAATTAAGAAGTTTAGAATCAGGTAACTATAAATTGATTATTACAGTTAAACTGAAATGTTGTAGCAAATGGTGCATAATTTGGATAAAAACTGTATTTAAATCTCAAAAGATCTGATATTAACTGTATATAGACATTGTACATATTATATACTTGTACAACAAAATGCTCAAATGTGATAAGATATATGGTTTAGAACTGCTTATTTTTGTATATATATATTATGTAAGCAGGGTTGTCTGTACATAATAGAAATGTATATATAAAATATAATGGTGAAATGTAAAATAGGGGATATCTCAAAACTGCAATAAATAAATACAATAAATGAATATTAATGAAATATTTTGCAAATGCTATATCAATTTCAGTTCTATTCTTTGATCATGATTTTGCTGTGTTGATTATTTTTCTCATTTCAAATCAAATGATGACTGTGTGAAACCAACTAACCTAAATTAATCGAATGATTTTTTATACAGTGGTTGCAAAATCCAACAATTTTGAAACAAGGCAAAATGTCACCACCTAGTTGCTCACAATATTAGGAGTTCAATCTTTAGTCAGATTTCAACTTTTGAGAACTTGTAGGTGATTTTGAAAATTGGTCAATTTGCCTCAAGTTGAAAAATACCTTTTTGACCTTTTTTGACCTTGAGAAGGTCATTGAAGGTCAAATCTCAAAAGTAAAGTCTTTGAACTTCTGAGAACTTGTAGATGATTTTGAAAAATTGAAGTCATTCTGACCAGTATTTAGAACAGTTATTGGATGTTGTAAGAATTTGTTACAGATACCAACCCCCGCCTACTGCTACAAAAAACAGAAACCATATATATATATATATATCTTTTATTTACTCTTTAGATGTCATATCATGACATATTAGTCACTAAGGTAGAGCAGTTCCCATTGTCGAGTTGATGGAAGAACTGGTATTTTTATCCTGGCTAGAACCATAGACAATTCTAGCCAGTGCCAGCCTTTTATCGAGTTAGCAGCACTCTAGTAATCGCTGGTATAATTTTTGGACTGTATATGTCACCACTTTTGGTGGTGACTTAAAAAACTGATTTGGATTGAAACAGTCCAAAAGTTGTACTTTTATTTTGGTACTTATAATTCCAATTTTCAAAAGATCTTGTACATTTTCAAATGTGTCAAAATATGTTTTTCGACTTGGGGCAAAGTTAATGAACTAATTGAACTTGTTAAAATGGAAATGCATTCCGCATTAGCTTCAGTGCTGGAGAAATAAATTCCATGCATTGAAATAACTGGAAAGAAATTTTAACCAATCACCAAAAGAAATAACAAATTGCCTGAGGTTAAACATGAAATTGAAAATAAAATATTTTTTATATTTACCCTAAAATAAAGTAGAGGATTTCCTCAAATATTGAATATCTTGTAATTAAAAAGATAAAGTCAGATCACTTTGTGCCTCATCTTCAATAATGGATAATCTTTTTGCCCGCATCAAATATATTTCTTACCCTAACTTGTTTCTTAATTGGAATTCACACCACACAGGAAAAGAAACAATAGTAGCAATTAAGTCTTGATCTACGGGAAGATAGAAATGCCTGAGCCTAATGATAGAGCAGAGTATTGAACCAACCACTCAACCAAGCTCATTACTTAATTGTCTCATTTTTAATAAAAATGAACCAGTTAATTCACTTCAGTAAATAGCTGTTTTTGTTCAGTCTCTATATTCTTCCCTCCCCCTGTCTAATGATAGAGCAGAGTATTGAATAGCCTTGCCCAAGTCGGTATTTTTTACTTATCTGATCTTGAATTATTACCGCCTTGTACAATCCAATACACCTGCGCTGATATTATGCAGAGTTATTCAACGGTTTCGAGATTTCCATAATACCTACGCTATCAGGGGTACCGCGAAACCTTATGGATTAACAGATATATGCGTGGACAGTCTGGACACGACGTGTGACTTCAGGCTGATTGACCAATCAAAAAAGTTATCAGGTTGACCTGCATAAGCAAAGCAATCTTCCCGATTTGAAATTCAATGCCGATGATCTGATCGATCGTTTCTTTAGAGTTACAATATATTATGTAATTAAATGTACATAGGGAATGTAAGAGTCATTAATATAAATTAGATATATAAATTAAATCATGCAATAGATTTAAAACTGATTTCGCGATGAAAATGCATGACCGAGTCCAATGTAGCGGGTCATGTAGTCGATCAGTGATTGAATCTCAGCCTACATGTTCATTTGAATTCAGCGATCGTTTCAACGTTTATTGTTGAAATCTTCTCACCTCCGGTTACCGATCGATGCTCCGGCATCCACTAAACTCTGATTGATATTTATCTGATAAAATATTTGTATTTTCATGATGAATTCATGCAAGTTTGTTCGTGAAAAGTCCCGGCGAAAAGTAAAAAGTGTACTTGTTTTTGACCGTGCATAATAATGAGCTAACGCTGTAGGGCCGTCGCTGATTGGTCAAGTTTTACCGACATAAACATTGAGTCGGTAAAGCACGTGGCTTTCTCTTTGGTACAAGGCGGTCATAATAGAAATCAAGATAGTAAAAGAGACCGACTTGGGCAAGGCTAAGTATTGAACCAACCACTAAGATCATTACTTAATTGTCTCATTTTTTAATAAAAATGAACCAGTTAATTCACTTCAGTAAATAGCTGTTTTCGTTCAGTCTCTATATTCTTCCCTCCCCCAGCTATGTAGAATATGGGATGTTTTGATATGATTAGAACCCAAGTACGGGTTTACTCTACAGAGCAATCTGATGAAAAGGTATATAAAAACAATCTCAACTTAAACTTGGGGTGATAGTTGATTGAAATCAAGCTCTATCAGTGCCATCATAAGAGGAAGTGTGCATTTCATTTCAATCTTTTATGTATACATGTGTTTTATAAAAGATATGACAAAATGTAAATTTCACTGACTTTTAACTTGGTCAGGTTGGTCAATTTTATCCCCCACCTTTAATAAACTCATGAATTTGTATAAGCCAAATATAAACTTAAAAACCTCACGATTACTACATTTTATTACTATACATGTATATAATTTCGTATTCATATGAAAGAGTTGATGACCCTACAACCATTTCAACCAAAAGAATTCCTACAACACAATGACATTGATAGTCTTATAGTCTCCAGCACGCACATCTACCTGAATTATTAATGTAGCCACATCCTTGGAACCAATGATCTTAAGGTTCTTGATTAAAGGAACAGTAAAAAACTGACAGTTCAACCTTGAGGTTGTTGTTTATCGGAGGCCTAAAAATTATTTTACGATTAAGTGCAACATTTTTATATTAAAATGACCACGACCATTTGCATAGGACAGGTTCAACTGTATTCAGTCAGCGCAATATTGGGTTCTATTAACCTTTCATACCAGATCAAGAAGTCGACAATAAAACAATAAAAAATGATAAAGCTACTGTAAATCAAAGTATACTGCCAGTGCTGAGGAAAACATAAATAGGGACTATACCAAATAAGCAGTACAAATGGCAATGCTAACATTTACCCAAATTTGCATTTAAAGTTGCAACAAAATTCTATCAAATACATTCATTGAGATTAATGCAGTCACGAACAAGAATTCTTAAAGTGTGATATTATACAAAAGTGGCTGTTGCAGAAGAACATAATGCAGATATGTTACAGATTTTTATCCAAAGGGAATATCTTCAACTAATATTCCTGAAATAGTAGACTAAAGATATTGAGAATATTCCTAGGATCAATTTATCTGCAATATTTCCTAAAATTGAACATTCACGATTTGTTTGATATTAATAAAATCATTCATGATGGTACATCAATGGACTCAGATGAACTCAGAGCCACTGCGTATAGAGCACAATTTGTAATTTGTCTTAACAATGTCCACGTGTTAATTGTTACAGATATGAATTAGATTCCGAGTCCATATCATCTATTGCAGTGGAATTAGAGAAACATGACTGAACCGAATGCTGGTGGTTTTATTAACAGTGAATGACTGAAAAGTAAAATATTCAACAGGAGGAGGAGCTTTGACAATTTAGAGATTTAAAATCTGTATGTATAGAAGTGGTGTTAACTAGATGAACCTGGATTACCTTATTTTAAAAAAAACAAACAAAAACAAAATGGTAAAATCTAAAAGGTAGAATCTGAGTATAAAATCATTCGAGAGATATATCAATTATCGTCATTGAGCTGACTGG